CTCCCAAGGCCAGCACGGGCAGAAGGAAACTGTGAAACGATAACAAATAAGATGAAAAAAAAACAACCAATCAAGTTTCCCACCGCTTGTCTCCATCAGTAATGCTGCGTCCAGCACAACAATCCTTGGCTTTCACTTTCCCCTTGCAGCCACAATGTGTCCAGCTGAAGGAACAGAGGAGAGGAAGGTTTTTCCCACGGCCTTCCCAGAAAACACTTGCAGAAGCACTTAAGGGAAATTTCCCATAGCGATGATCTCCTGCAGAAGGGCAGTGCTGCACAGAGAGCAACCTGGCTGAGTTCCCCATCAATGCTGTTCTTTGTTCCCCACTGATGTCATTCTCTGTTCCCTATTGATGCTGTTCTCTGTTCCTTATTGATGCCATTCCTTGTTCCCTATCAATTCCACCCTCTGCTCTCCATCACTTTCATTCCCTGCTCCCCGTCGATGTTGTTCTCTGCCCCCCATCACCACCAACCTTGGCTCCTGCGCCTGGAGAAAATCCAGCCCAAAGAAAAAGCATTGAGATTTCTGGCAGACACCACAGGCTCTGCAATGCTGGAGGCACACAGAGAGCCCACCAAGGCCCCAGGGTGAAATTTTGGACTAATTTTAACCCCAGTTTCCCACTGCAGAGGATTTCATGAGCATCTTACTTTATCTTTTTGGTTTTTTACCACCCAGTAATGCTGCCTCTTGGCTCTCAGGCTGCTGGGAAGTGATGTGTGTGCAGCCTGCAGGTTCAGAAGTCGGAGTGCAGATAAGGAGGCAGGGAGTGTCTTTGGGTTTGGTTTTGAAAGGCCAAAGTTAGAGAGTGGGAAGATGACACTCAGCTCGAACAGCCCAGCCCTGATTGTTATCTCCAGCAGAGGAGTCTGGTGTGAAATCAACTTTCAGCCATGATGCCGGGGACCAAAGGACACAGAAATGAGTCACCAATACACAGTGGGGTTCCTGGGGCAAGCAGGGTCTTCAGCTAGCTTGAACAGGGGAACCACCAAGGACAGAGCATCCCAATGAGAAGACAACAAAGATCCTTCCCCAAGTAGTCTGGAGAGAAGCCATCATCACAGACAAAAGCTTTTTGCCTTTGTTTTAGGAGCTTTGGGTACAGCTCTGCTATGGGGTCTGAGCCTGCAGCCCACTGCAGACCCCGGGGCTGCTGTTTTGGGTGGAAAACCTTTCTTTTTGGGAATGCCCTCCCCACTATGGGAGTGAAGGACACCCACAGCCCACAGCCCAGCACTGGGAAGAGGGAATCCCCCAGCCCAGCAGCCAGCCATGCACCCCAAAATCAACAGGTGGCCCCTGCAGATTTACAGCATAGCAACCCAATTCCATTGGTTTTGCTGAGGTTTTGGTTTCTGAGCTGCCTTAACCTGATGATGTGGATGCATCCCCTCTGGTCACTCATGATTGATGTTTATGAATTTAGGACTTGGCTGTGACTTGGTGCATTCTCCCCTGGACAAGAACAACACCATCTGTTCCGTACTATTTCTAAATGGTTTCAGCTCCCAACAGCACTTGGGAACAGAAGATGAGCCCATCCCCACAGCCTCTGGGCAGGCAATGCCTTGGGGGCTGCAAGCCCACTCCCACCCCTTTGATCACCCAGGTTTCAGGATGAGGCTCCGATCCTTATGGGGTTTTCCAGCCTCAAATAGCAACCACCACTTTTTGAGGAAGATAAAGGCATGTCTGCAGGTTTGCAGCTGCTCTCCCCACACGAGTGTGGGTTGTGGCCATGGTGACTCAGAGCCACCTCTTCACTGGGACAGGCGAGGGTGGACAGGTCTCAGACCAGGTTGAATAGAAACCATCTCCTCTAACAGCAGGGGAAGTCCCAGGTGGCCACAGGGACAGCAGGGACCTTGTCAGCCCATAGGAAGGAAATAGCACAAGGGGGGGGGGTGCATTAAGTGCTTATCTCACCATCAGCCTCAGCAAGGTAATGGAAACACTGCTCTGTTCCAACCGAGACAGAGAGTTTAAAAGGAGAAGAATAAATCAAACAAATCCTTATGGCTTTATGGAAAGCAGACCCGACCTGTCAGAGTGGCTTTGATTACAGACATTATTTTGGATGGCCCAGCTGCTGCAGCCATCCTGTCCCGCAGGCACTGCACTTAGATCTCCATCCCCTGGGGTTATCGATCGAATGGAACGAGGAGCGCTGCAGCATCAATAAAACTTGGGTGAACACACTGGAAAGAGCAGTGTTGCTGAATTCTGCTCAGTGCAGGGCTGAGGTATCACCCCAATCCAGCACCAGGCTCGGGGCAGAAGAAGTCTGCAGGGATGGCAGCAGCATCCTTAGACTTTCCCTACCCAAAGCATCCCATGCGTGAGGTTTTTGACAATGGGCCTTTCCCAGTCCAGTGAAACTTCTTCATTTTCCTTATGTTTCTCTTTCTTTTCCTTAATGCAGGGAAAATACCATCACTCAGGAGTTATTTCCTGTTTGGAAACAACTTGTGCTGGAGAGGGTCCAGCAAAGCTTGTCTGAGATTTCCCCTTGGCCACATCCAGGATAATCTGTGCTACTGAAAGCAGATCCTGGGGCAACACCGTGCAATGCTGTCACCAGGGTAGGAGTGGGGGCTCCATATGGCTTGGCAGTGAGGTTTCAGACTGTCCTGCTCAGCCAGAAGACCTCAGGATGTGGGGATGAGATGGGGAAAAGGGATCCAGGGAGTGAAAACAAAGACAGGAGCCTACACCATCCCAGCACCATCTGCTTCCCTTTGCTCCCTGGGCTGGGACAAGATGGAAGTGGAGAAATTAAACCAGTGTTGGGCTAATGGTGGGATGGGACACAGAAACACAGAACATCCCTTTCCTTGCACCCTGGGATATCCTACAGTTCCCTCACTGCACCCTACACACATACACTCCATCACAGCAGTCTGGGAGATTTCTGCAGCCAAAAGCTTGAGTCTGATTTCTGGGAAATAGGTTTGGAGAAGAGAAACCAGAGGGACGCAGAAGTACGGGTGGTCCCACTATGGAGATGGCCACAGCATCCTGTGGGGATGATCACAGCCTTGACCAGTGTCCACAGACTTGAGATCTGTGCCAGCAGGGACTCGCGTCTGTGTACATCTGCCAGCATCTGGAGTTGTCTGGGCTGGGGGAGAAGGGGATTTGGCACAGCTGTAGGCAGGCAAAGACCACTGGGGAAGCCCAGTCTAATCTTTGCTATTTCCCAGCTCATCGTGGCCAAGAACATGAGCTGCTTCTCTGGCCTTGGGGATAGGAAGTGGAAACACCTGCCCAGCCTCACCCAGCCCCACAGGACTCCAAAGTCCCCTGAACTAGCAGAGGGCCATACATGTGCCTTTTGCATCTGAGCAAAGGCTATTTACTTTTTAGTAAACTTATTTTATAAATAGGCTATTTTATTTTTATTTTTATTTTTAGAAAAGAGTGTCAGGTCTGGGATTGGACATTTGCCTCCCCACTGAGACACAAATCAGTGGGATGCAAAGCATTACTGTGCTCCCATGGACTGGCAGCTTCTGCCAGCTGTGATGTATGTTGGGAGCATGCCTGGCTGTGTGGGACCCTGCTCAGCTCCAGACACTGCCCTGTCCCATGCACCCCTCCATGGCCATACAACCTGCCTAGGGATTGGGGTGCAGAGCCAAACTGGGGGAGCAACATGGCCACCAGCCCCAGTATTGCAGGAAGAAGTTTAGAAAATCCCAAGCCCCTCAGAGTCTGAGAGCAGGTTTTTCCTCCTCAAACTGTTCTGGGAGGGGAAGGATATCACCCACTCTCTGTTCTTTGGGACATGTCCAGTGACCAGGTCCTCCCCCTGTCCACGCAACTACTGACCTCATGGGAGTCAGCACTGCTGCTGCTCCATAAAAGAAGCCCAGCAGTCCATCCCAAGCAGAAGGGAGAGTGAAGCAGCCCGCAGCCCTCCTACAGCCCGACATGGCCAAGGCAGCTGGGGTGTTCTTTGTCCTCCTCCTCCTTACTGCGCTGTGCTGCCAGAGCCTGGCCCAGAGTGAGTGCGGCCACCTGCGGGACCGGGGATGGGAACACCAAGGAGAAGGGAGGGGTGCATGGGGTTTGCATCATGCAAGGAGGCCGGGATGGGAACTGGGGGCCTTCAGGCTGAGCTGAGCTCTCATTCTCCCCCCAGGAGCCCCAGCTGTGCCTGACAAGTGCTGCTTCAACTTTCATACCAGAAGGATCAAAATGGACAACATCGTTGCCTGCTATGCCACCAGCCCTCAGTGCCCACACCGAGCTGTGATGTGAGTATGCCTGCCCCCCTGGTGGTATCAGCATGGCAGTGAGTGGGTGCTGCTGGAGAATTCGCTGCCCTCGGATCTTCTGGGTTAGGAGACTTAAATCCATTTCTTCTCTCTGCACAGCTTCAAGGTGAAGAATGGCAAAGAGATCTGCACCCCAGCAGACAGGATGTGGGTGAAGAGGTACCAGCAGAGGTTCCAGGTCAGCTCCTACTCCATCCCCAGCTAGAAGAGCCACAAGAGCAGCATAGGGCCCTTGGAGGCAGCCTTATCACGGAGATGGGGAGACCAGGAGCAGTGCGAGTCCTCCCCGTCTCAGCCCTGTGCTATGCAGATGAGCAGCACTCACCTCCATGTTTTCTTTCCATTTTTCCCACTGTGAGATCCTGGAGCTCTTGGCATCACTGTGCACAGGTTTCCGTATCTCCTGCATCTCTTGCTCTTCTCCACCCTGAGACCATGGCTGGACTGGGTCTTAGGCAGGGGACAACTGCTTTGCATGTCAGTGTCACTGTGCTCCTTGGGCTTTTTGCAGTGCAGGGGTTAATAGGGAGTAGCATCACTAATGCTTCTTATACAGCACTGTAAACAGAATTAAACTCAACCTTGTGTATGCAAACATCTGGCTGTCCAAGTGTCTGGGGAGCAGAAGAGTTCCTGCTCTTGGCTTGCTTTGGGTAAGAAATGTCAGCTGTGAGAGCTGAACTCAGTAAAGGGGTGGGAAGAGATGATGTTGTGGTCACTCTTCTCAATTCCTTTTTGGAAGGATCTGGAGGTACATAGAGTCAAGCAGTGTCCACATGGGACCTGGGGAAGCCATCTGCAAAAGGGGCAAGAGCTGAGCACATCTCTGGGTGCCAAACCTGAAAAGAGGGGTCTTCCCTTGCTCTTCATCAGCCATCCCCAGACAAAATTCAACTTGAGCTGCACAGTTAGGCCCTGGTAACAACTCACATGCCAGGGTTGCCACGAGGAGATGCAATGGCCATGGCCACTGACGTGGTCACTGTGATGGGCACAGCCACCACCATGGCTGCCATGACAAACATGGCCACAATTACAGGTTTAGCCATGAAAAACATGGCCACAATTGCAGGTTTAGCCACCACTATAGGCACCATGATGGACACAGCCATCACTATGGGCAGCACTACGGGCACAGCCACCACCACCATGGGCACGATCATGAACATGGCCACCACTACAGGAAGCACCATGGGCACAGCCAAAACCATGGGCACTTGGCACACAGCCATGGGGTCTGGGGTGGGCTGGCCTGAGCTTGGGTGCAGTCAGTGCCAAACCAGTCACCTCAGCAAAAACTGCAAGAGCAGCATCACAGTCAGGATGAGTTTTGAACAGAAGCTCACTCAGGTCTTCAGTGAGCATGACTATCATCCTGTGTGGTTTGTCGGTGGCAGCAGCTGAACCCAAAATAGACTACAGGCTGCTACGCATTGCAGCAGCACAGGACTGTGCTCACCAGACTTTCCAGAAGCCCTCAAGGCTGGGTGTGAAGAGGGGCCGGAACAGCACCAGCCAGGGAGAGGAATTTCCATCCCCCAGTTGCCCTTTAGTAATAGCAACGAGTGGTTCTTCCCCTGGGGAGAGTCCAGAGCTGTCATGGAAATCCTGGACAGGGGCTATATAATGCTGAGGTACAAGCAGGTAGCACTCAGCAGCACCAAACCAGCAAGAGCTACTGGTTCCTGGAGCTGACAGCCACCCAAATTGGACATGAAGATCTACTCCTTGGCCATGATCACTCTGCTGCTCGCTGCTGTCTGGACTGAGAGCTGGGGCAAGTCCTGTAAGTACCAACACGGAGTCTTAACCCACGTCCTGCTGCAGGTTTGGGGTTGGGGATGGGGGAATAGGTTCAGCCCCTGCTTCTGCTGTGGACTTAAGGTGCCAAGGGGTCAACACTGGCTTGGAAGATGTTTGTTAATAACGCTTGTTCCTGGGGATTTCTTGTCAGAGAGGAATATGGGGGCAAACCTGCAGAGCTGGAGACATGGCAGGGATCCTCACAGTGGGGGAAGTGGCTGGGGTCAGGCATGGGACAGCACCAATCCCTTCCTCCTCTCAGTCCGCAGCTCCTACAGCTCCTGCTGCTACAAGAACATGTTCATCCAGAAGGAAATCAACACCTCGCTCATCCGCAGCTATCGGGAAACACCTCCAAACTGCTCCCGCAGAGCCATTATGTGAGTCCCTGAGGCCCCAGCCTTCATCCCCAGCCTTCCTCCCCCAACCTCCCATACCCAGTCTTTCTCCACCAACCTTCCTCCTCAGTCTTCCTTCCCATCGCACTCCTCGCCCTCAGCCACCCTGCCTGTGCTTTCGCTTCCCACTATGAATGTCCACAGTAAGCTCCTCTCAGGGTGCTCTATGCTGAGTTCTATCCACATGTTCCTCCTCCCCTCAATGCCTTATTTCAAATCTTCCAGCAGCCCCTCATTTCAGCAATAAAAATGGGAAGGAAACCAAAGTTTACAAGGGATTTGAGGCTGCTAGAACTCAGAGTTTTGGGGAATGCTAGGAATGATGCTGCAGGGTAGGGGAGGACACTCCAGCTAACCCAGCCCCTCTACCCACAGTGTGGAGCTGAAGAAGGGGAAGAAGTTCTGCGTGGACCCTGCAGAGGGCTGGTTCCAGCAGTACTTGCAGGGAAAGAAGCTGAGCAACACCTCAACATGAGCTGCTACCAACACCAGCTCTATTTCTACGTACCCTGCCATGACCTGTCAGTGCCTGTGATGTCTCATTAACTTATGGAGCCAGCTCTGCCTTGTCTCCCTCTGTCCCACTTCACACTACTGTACAGCTCTACTGAGGTTTAATAAAGCTACTTGCTCTGACCTGCACCTGTGTGGCTGTAGTGAGACATGAATCCTGCACTGGGAAAGAGAGGCCGCGTTGGGGTTTGCCTCACTGTGAGGACCTGGGAACAGCCCAGAAGGCATTAGGAAATGTGAAACCAGAATGGTGAAGGTTCTGTACGCCCTCCAACAGTGTAGACCCTGCCTGGGTGTGGGTTTAAGGGTGCTCTGCACAGCTGTTCACTCCATGCAATGTTGATTTTGGCTGATGTTGGAGAAACGTTGGGTTTGAGGGGATTCACTGCAGGGTCAGTGCAGAGCAGACAGGTGGGTTTCATGAGGAGTCAGGAGCTGGCCAGTCCCCACTGGACATTAAAGCAGAAACTGAAAGCAGCGGCCAGCAGTTCCCCTTTTGTAGCTTTATTTCTCCATTTCAGAAAAACTGCAGGAATTCTGAGATAATTTCCTACTTATTATGTACTCATCTTTTGTTCCTCGAAACCCTTCCGCACCCAGTGCCTGGGGATAAAAGTGGCAGCACAGCAGAGGCTGAGCATCGTGCAGAGCAGAGACCTGCAGCCACTCAACTCCAGCCCTGCTCACCGTGCCAACATCCTGCAGACCATGAAGGGCCCCGCAGCCATCCTGGCAGCTCTGCTCCTCCTGGCCCTCTGCTCCTCAGCTGTGGCCCATCTGGGTGAGTCAGGTCTCATTATGTACCTCTGTCTGGGTGCCCGTTCCTCCCTGGGAGCCCCATCCCCATGGATGGGACCTTCATGGTGGGCTGTGGGGGACTGCTGCCCATGCTGGGGCTCAGCCTTGGAGACGGGGACCCTAGAGGTGTCCTTGGGGGATATGACATCAGGAGGTGATTATGTGATGGGAGATCCTTGGAAAGTCCCAGGTAGGGCACCTGTGGGGTCTCACCAGGGCTTTGTTTCTCTCTCCCACAGATGACCTACCCACAACCTGCTGCTTCTCCTACGTTCCACGTCCCATCCCACGCAACGTCATTGCTTCTGCCTTCCCCACCAGCAGCAAATGCCGCCTGCCAGCAGTGATGTGAGTATCCAACCACAGCTGGGGTGGTTGTGGTGTAACACAACAGCATCATGCCACAGCTTCCAGGGTGGTTGGTAAGGGACGAGAGTGTGGCTGTGGACGTGTGTGTGCTGCCTGCAGAACCAATCATCGTGTGAACCTAACGCTGGTTTTCTCCCTGCAGCCTGGTCACCAAGAAGGGGAAGGAGGTATGTGCAAACCCTGAGGAGTCCTGGGTGCAGAAACGCCTGGAACTCTTCCAGAGCCAAGAAAACTGACCTTCTGTGCAATTATAGAATCATAAAACAGACAGATTGGAAGGGGACCTAGCAGCACACACAGCTCCAGCCCTGCTCTAGACTCTTGCACCCCTCCACCCCCCCAAGCTCAGGGTGCCCAGGGCTCATCCAAGCTGGTTTGGGCATATCTGGGGCACCCACAACTTCCCTCCTATCCATCCCACCAATGCTAAGGAAGTGAAAATACAGAGATGATTCAGAACACATCAAAATGCTTGCTAAAGAGTCAAGAGCTCTGATGCCTAAATAAAATTCCTGCAATTGAAAACGCTTTGCCTCTCTGTTGAAGCCCACCACCAAGCAGGAACAGCTCCATAGAGGCAGCCAGGTGGCAGATTTAAGGATACCCTGCACAGCTGTTCCCTTCATGTGATACTGATTTGTGTTGATGTCAGATGGCAATGGAGAAATATTGGGCTTGAGGGGATTTGAAGTTTGTTTTTCTTTCTCAGCAAAGAGCATGGAGTTAATGCTGATGGCTGCAGAAGGAGGGGTGCCTGGTGGCAATGAGGATATCAAGTGGTCAGCAAATTGCTGTCAGGGATGAAGGAAACTGAATCACGTGTGTTGGGCACTCGTCACCACATTCCCTATAACCCAGAAGAGCATGAAAGCACAGCTGCTTTTGAGCTTGTGGTGTGCAGTGAGGATGGAGCAGCCTCCGTCCACCCAACTCCCATTGGGGCTGCAGCCACGGAGCTCCACATCCCAGCCTGGCTCTCATTGCAGGGTGAGTGCAGAGCACCAGGGTTGGTGTCACGTGTGCCCCACTGGGCACTAAAACAGAATCTGAAAGCAGTGGCCCTATGGCTGGTGCTTCTCCTTTTTGCAGCTTTATTTCTGCAGGGGTTCTGAAATAATTTCCTAGTTATTATGCGTTCATATTTTTCCCTTGACACCCTGTACACTCCCAGCAGCCAGGAAATAAAAGTGGCAGTGCAGCAGGGGCTGAGCATTGTGCAGAGCAGAGCCCTTAAGCCAGCTAGCTCCAGCCCTGCTCCCTGTGCCCATGTCCCACAGCACCATGAAGGGTTCTGCAGCTGCCCTGGCTGGTCTCCTCCTGGCCCTCTGCTCCCTCAACTGTGGACTGCTTTCCTATTGGCAGTAGTGGTAAGTCATGTCTTACACTTTCCTTTTGGGGCAGGAGGCACTGCCCCTACTTGGTAGGGTTCTGGGTGCTGGAGAATCCCCATCCCCATGGATGGGTTCAGCATAGCGCTGAGCGTGGGCAATTGCCACCAATGCTGGTGTTCAGCTTTGGAGATGGGATCTTCTGGGGGATATGACATGAGCTGAGGGTAGCTGATGGCAAACCCTCAGGGAGCCCCACATACAGCATCTCACCACAGCTCTCTTTTCCTGAACCCACAGATGACATCCCCTTAAGCTGCTGCTACAGTTATGTGTCACGTCCCATTCCTTACAAGCTCATTGCCTCTGTCTATGCCACCAGCAGCTCCTGCTCCCTGCCAGCAGTGATGTGAATATCCAGCCGGGGTTTGGAGTACAACACCACGACTGTGACACACAGGTGGTCAGGAAGGGATGGCAGTGTGGTTGGGGACATGTGGCTGCTGCCATGCAGACCCAGCACCCCATTGCCCCAGTGGTGCTTTTCTCCCTGCAGTGTGGTCACCAAGAAGAAGAGGAAGATATGCACAGACCCAAAGCAATTCTGGGTGCAGGCACTCCTGGAGCTATCCAGAACAGAAAAGTTGCTCTCCCACGCCGTGAAGGAAGTGAAAACACAGAGATGATGCACAGAACATCAAATACTTGTTAAGGAATCAGGAGCTCTGATGCCTAAATAAATCCCCTTGCATTAGTAAATTAGGGATGATGTGGTTTATTTGCTATACCATCTTCAGTCCATATATTTCAATGACCTGTGAGTTGTGTCTCCAACTCCCTGTTGGAGCTCACTGGCACCCATCAAAGCCCTGTGGGCAGATGTGGGCATCCCAAACCCACCTCTGAGGGCCCCCAGCACCTCGAGGGCACTCACAGCCCCGCAGCCACTGCGCCTTGCCAGCCTCTGAACAACGGCCCTGCTGGTTGAAGCGCCACAGCGGAGTTTGCTGATGTGCCAGAGCACTGCGGGGCGCGACACCACCACTGCCACGACTCTCCTGCCTGCGCTTCCCTGCTGAGCTGCTGCTGCTTCTGCAAGAGCGAGCGATGGGAGCCCAGCCAAGGTGTCAGCACCGTGGAAGATGACACAGGCTATCGCATGGAACTGAGACAAAGGGTTTTGATAGTCCAAGCAACTTATTTGGGCATCAAAACCCCTGACTCCTTACTGGACTGCTCATCTGATTGTGACTGCTGCCCAGAGAGGCTGTGGATCACCCATCCCTGGAGGCCTTCAAAGCCGGCTTGCATGGAGCCCTGGGCAACCTGGACTGGACCTGGAGGATGGTGGCCCTGCCTGACACAGGAGGGTTGGAACTTGATGATCCTTGGTGTCCCTGCCAACCCAAGCCATCCTATGATTCTACCATTCTGTGTGTCAAACTACTGTTCCTTTAAATTGTTTTCCTTTTTATTTCAAAATAAATTTTTAATTTAACATCAATAAGCTAAATTCACTAAGTGTTCTGTTGAAGAAGGAGATCCTCTTTAAGCGCTCTGGTGCGTGAGTGCTCCTGTGCACCAAGCCCAGGGGCACAGCACGGAAGGTCAATTTTCTTGGTTCTGGAAGAGTTCCGGGTATTTCTGCACCCAGGACTCCTTGGGGCTTGCACATACTGAGGCGTCCTTCCTGCCTGCACTTTGCTGTTGCTGAACTATTTCTCATAAAGACACCCCAGCCAGGATGCCACCATCACCCCACGGGGATGTGCTGAGGTCAGGACTGGCCATGGGGAGCTGAGCCCACCCTGGGAGGTGGAAGCACCATGGGATCCCCACGGGAACTGTGACAAAGGGCTTTGAAAGTCCATATAGGAGACAGACAAAGGGGTTTGATAGTCCAAAAACTTTATTTAGGCATTGGAAAAACTATGACCATAATGGATTATTATGTCGTGGTATCTTTTAAATTATTTTTGTATTTTTCATTTTCTTAGAAAAAAATATTTAATTTAACTTAAATAAGTTAAATAGAATAAATTCCGTATTGAAGACAATCCAGTTCAAGTGCTCTGGTGCACGAGTGTTCCTGTGGGCCAAGCTCAGGGGCACAGCACGGAAGGTCAGTTTTCTTGGCTCTGGAAGAGTTCCAGGCGTTTCTGCACCCAGGACTCCTCAGGGTTTGCACATACCTCCTTCCCCTTCTTGGTGACCAGGCTGCAGGGAGAAAACCAGCGTTAGGTTCACACGATGATTGGTTCTGCAGGCAGCACCCACATGTCCACAGCCACACTCTCGTCCCTTACCAACCACCCTTGAAGCTGTGGCATGATGCTGTTGTGTTACACCACAACCACCCCAGCTGTGGTTGGATACTCACATCACTGCCGGCAGGCGGCACTTGCTGCTGGTGGGGAAGGCAGAAGCAATGACGTTGCGTGGGATGGGACGTGGAACGTAGGAGAAGCAGCAGGTTGTGGGTAGGCCATCTGTGGGAGAGAGAAACAAAGCCCTGGTGAGACCCCACAGGTGCCCTACCTGGGACTTTCCAAGGATCTCCCATCACACAATCACCCCCTGATGTCATATCCCCCAAGGACACCCCTAGGGACCCCGTCTCCAAGGCTGAGCTCCAGCATGGGTGGCAGTCCCCCACAGCCCACCATGAAGGTCCCATCCATGGGGATGGGGCTCCCAGGGAGGAACGGGCACCCAGACAGAGGTACATAATGAGACCCGACTCACCCAGATGGGCCACAGCTGAGGAGCAGAGGGCCAGGAGGAGCAGAGCGGCCAGGATGGCTGCGGGGCCCTTCATGGTCTGCAGGATGTTGGCACGGTGAGCAGGGCTGGAGTTGAGTGGCTGCAGGTCTCTGCTCTGCACGATGCTCAGCCTCTGCTGTGCTGCCACTTTTATCCCCCAGCTGCTGGGCGGGCACAGGGTTTCAAGGAATAAAGATGAGTGCATCATACTAAGGAAATTACATCAGTATCTCCAAATTTTGCTGAGTTGGGAGAGGCAAGGAAACAGTAAAAGAGGAAGCATTGGCCACACGGCCATCTCTTTCAGATTCCATTCTGGTGGCCAGAGCCGGAAGCCCTATGCAGGGCTGTTCTGCTCCCATGGCATGGACACCCATAGAGACCACTGCTGGCAGGAAAGCACTGCCAGAAGGAACATCTGAGCTCAGCCACAGTTCTACCAGTAATACCACTTTCCAACGTGCCCCATAACAAAGCATAGTAGGAATGCTAAGTCAGTCTGAAACAGTGATTGAACACCTGGTGGGCATGCAGGGCCAACCCAGCAGAGCTCAGGTGCAAGCAATTCACCTGAGTGACTGGAAGGCATAGAGCCAGGATCCACCCCTTCCCAGATTGTATTTAAGGGGTGGCATTGCAGGTGAGGGTATCTGTTGTTGGAGTTTCCTGTGTGTTTCATGTTTTCTGTTGGTAAGTTGATCTTTTCTTTTGTTTTTGTGTTAGTGGTTGCTGGTTTGGGGCTTGTTCTCATTTGTTGTTGTGAAAGACTTTGCCTTCCTGCTGTTTTCATCCCACTACAGTGCTATGCAAGGATTCTGTGTTGGCTCCAGAATGGTGTGTTGTGCAGACATTGATCTCCAGCTCTTTGTTGAACTTCTAGAAAAGGAAAGATGGTATAGGGATGAAGTTGGATTGACCTGAAATTATTGGGGATGTTGGTTTTATTTGTTCTGATGTTAAAAGCTGCAGGCTTATGCTGGAAATCTTGCAGGTTTGGAGACAAAGGCAGCCCATAAGAAATGAGTTTTGGTCACTGTATGTAGGCTGTAGCCTGCTGTAGCCTACCCGATTGTAGGACAGATAGAGGGCATGCACTTCTTTGCCTACAGATGTTAATTTTGGCTCTGGTCAGTGAAATTGTTGCGGTTCCTGCTTGTTCACTTCTTGGTAGTATGGGTAACTTCATCCTATTCCACTTGTATATGCTGGTTTAGCATCCCAAATAAAAGTAAATACTTTAGTTTCAGGGAGGAGATGTGGCCCTGGGGTTAGGAGCTGAGAGAAGAGAGTTCTGCCAGAACTCTGGGATCAGCACATCACAGCTTTGTAGATGAAACACTGGCAATCGCAGCATGACCAAAAAAAGGGACAGCACTGGCAATTCCCAAAGGTAACTCACAATGTCCCTGTGGACACACATCCAGAAAGAACTACAGAACTCGGCACTTCTTCTTCTTTTTTTTCCCTTTTTCCATTCTTGCCCTTGCTGACCTGTGGGTTTGTTGACACCACTGATCCCAGCCTTTACCTCCCAACTCTCACTAGAGGTGACTAAAACCCTTATGCTCTGAAGAGATTGACTCATGCTGAGATCTGGTTGTGTCCATCCTTACACCTCACAGAAGAGCCATGGTCCCCATTCACATGTAGGCTCAAGGCAGTTGCTATGGCCCTTTGCTTATTGTGCCTTTCCCTGCTGTCAGATCCCTGCCATGAAGGGTGTACCTCAGAGCTGGTTCAACAGGGTAAGATGAGGAGAAGAAATTGGGATTGTTTCCTTTAGAAAGAACAGGCTACTCAGGGAGGTGGTGGAGTCCCCATTCCTGAAAGCTTTCAAGAACTGTAGAGATGTGGCAGTGAGGGGTGCAGGCATGGTCGGGGTGCATTGCGTTTGGATTTGGAAAAGACCTCTCAGATCCCCAACCTTAATGACTCAGTGATTCTAAACCACCCCCCACCATCCAGGAAGAGCCAGGCAGTGCTGACCCAGCCTCAAAGCTAAGGACAGAACAATCTCTCCAGATCTTCTCAGCTGCCTACATCACAACTGCTTCTAACCTGGTAGTGACACTGGAGAAATTCAGAGCACCCTCTGTGTAAACACTCTTGAGGTTTAGAGTTTAGTCAACAGAAACCACCTGTTTTTGTGAGCCTCTCTGCCCATAAACATTCACCAGCCATCCCCTTGGCATCTCCCCTGACCTCCCAGGAGTCGCAAGAAGTGGGAGGAAAGACATCAGCACGCAATAAGCTGTTATGATCAGGACAAGAAGCAATTGGTGCTTGGAACAGCTGTGAGAGCAGGATCCTAAACCCAAAGCAGGGCTTGGGATCCCCTGGGGAGCAGCCCCAAGCCAAGGTCCAACTCAACTCAAATAGAACTGGGTCCCAAGACCACGTGTAGAAGTGTGCAGGGACAGCAGGTGATGCTGGCTTAGGAGGATGAGCTATGCCTTCCCAGGCAAAGAGAAAAGATAAAGAGCTTCCCAATGCAGTCATTTCTCTTCTGGGATAACCATAGAAAATCTGCCATCCATTATGAACCTTAACCAATCTCAAAACTACAAACATTCATTTTGATGGAAATGGTAAAAAAATAAAATAAAATAAAAATTTCCTCTTCACTGCAGAAGTTGTTGCCCCAGCTTTCACTTCTTCATTTAGATGAGAGTCGAATGGAACTTCTTACTGGATGCTGATGAAGAAGTTCCTATTCTAACTGGAAAAGAGGATATTTCGATGAATTACACAGAATTGCAGCTCAGCAAAAAGTAGAAAGCTTGTGTTAGAGTGTATTTAAGGAATTTAATATAAGGAAGTGATCTAAAGGGAGAGTGAAGAAATGACTTATGGTTTTAATTCGCCTGTGGTAGAATACATCTGTATTCATATGACTTTCTAATGTGGCAGAGAAATCAAAAGCCAGTGTGGAGAGAGAAAGAGAGAAAGCACAACTTGATTTCTCGTTGGGAGCACTTCCAAGTGAAGATTTCAGAATAGCTGCTGGGGGCACAGCAGGGCAGAAAACACAGCTTTACAAATAAAAATGCAAAAAAAGGTAGCTGAAGATGAAGTGCCTTTTGTTGATGTGAAGGCAAGTCGAAAAAGTTATGGTCAAATATGCAGCACAATTAAGTGTTGTAGCAGCAGATGGGTGCATAGGTGACCAGCCAGATCTATGGAAAGAGGAGAAGGCTGCCTTAGTGTTGACTGGCTTTAGGAAACCTTCCCCAGCTCTGCATTGTTTGCCCAGAGGAAAATGCCCACTGGTTGATGAAAGTAGGATGTATTAACAGCCACAGGTCAAGGCAGAGGAATATCCTTGCACCTCTTCTGGGAGATGCTGCCAGACTTCTGGACCCCTGTGCACTGCAGCTCTCCTGCCTTCACTGTGCTCCAGTATGGGACAGAAGGAAACACAGAGCAAGGAAACCACAGGCAAGAAGAATTGAAAGAAACTGCCAACACCACAATCCTGTGCAAGTGCAGTGAAAGCCACGCGTTATGCAACATCCGTCTGGGAAGCAACACTTGTCATTGATAAAAATTATGCAAAGAAGTCCCGTGGCTGGAGGAAAAGGAAAATGCAGATCAGCCAAACGGCCTCGCCCTGCAGTGAGACGCTGCTGACCTTCTCATACATCGTTATACAGAGAAATCCAGCAAAGCTAAATTCCTAAACCAACTCCTGCTGATATCTTTTTTATTTGAAGCCTTGGGTGCTATCATCACACCCAGGATCTTGTGCCATGCCCTGCAGAGACCCACAACAGGTATCTTTCTATGGTCTTAAATCCAACTCATGGCTGTTCTCCCTCCTTCTTGAGTCCACTCTGAGCTGAAAACACTCAGTTCCACAGCCAGGGGCATGGGGACCCAGGACTCAAGTATCTCTTGCTCCTTGAATAAAGTAAATACACTTAAAGTAGAAGTACATATAATAATGGGAAATGAATGAAACACTTTGTGCAAGGAACAAGTGTTTATATAAGAAAGAAGAACCCTACTTCACATAAATATAAATACATACACTCAACAAATAGCAGGATTCTAAGCACAAGGTACAGCAAAATACTCAAGTCAGAAGCTGATTTGCCAGCCCACAGGCAGCTCCTTGCCACAGTGTCAAACTTTGCTCTATTCCACTACCACCAAGCAGCCCCCACATTTTCCCCTATGCTGCCCCACATTTAGTGCTTTGCCTCTTACAGCTTGCACCTGGAGTCCCAACTTCAGCCCTGCAGTCAGGTGGAGCAAAAACCTGGGGCTGCTTCTCTGCAGCTTTGGCTCTGCAAGGACACATGGACTCTGGTCCCCACAGTTACATGCCCTATAGCTCTTCTGCATGATTTGGCTGAGGCAGCAGCTCTCAGCACTGCCCCTGCAGAGATCTGCCCACATGAACACTCCATTGGGACTTTAAGAGGGAAAAAAAGTCTGTCTGCAAAAAGCAATTTCAATTATAAGTTTGCAGATACTGAGTATCCTCCTGCACCCAGACACAGATTGCATAAGCTCCAGTTACATTAAAATGGGCTAAAAATAAAGTACTATCTAAACTTGCATAGCTGAGGTTATCTCGTAGCCAGGCACGTGCTTCAGACTTTCTTTTCTGCTTTGCCCTTGATGAGACTTTCTACCAGTTCCATGTTCACTGTGCCTTGTGTCAAAATATCTCTTTTTGATATATCATTTCTTTTGTTAAATTGTTTTAACCACATCCCTTTCTTCTCCTGCGTGAAAGGGTAAATAATCAGTGTCGAATGATTCTATTTAAGCTCCCTTCATCTATTTGCCCCACTCTTCTCAGTCTTTCATCTTCAAGTCTCTGAATGCTTTCATCACCTGCCTCAAAGCCTTCTGTGTCGGCTGTATCCTTCTCTGAGTCACAACGAGATGAATGTGGCATTCAGAGATCATCCCACCAGTTTCTACAACAGCATTACAGGATTTGGAGAATTACTTTCTGTCCTATCCTTCATGCTTTCCTATGTGTGGATTAATCCTCAGACTTGGGGCATTGAAGATGGTCTGAAGAAAATAAAAGATATGAAGTCCTTTATTATTGATCCTTGATTTTAATCCAGTGAAGAACTTGGCCCAGAGAGGTTGTGCATGGCCCATCTCTGGAGGTATTCAAGGTTGGATGGGGCCCTGGGTGGCCTGATCTAGCAGCTGGCCATCAGTGTATGGCAGGGGGTTGGAACTAAATCTTTTAGGTCCCCTCCAATCTTAGCCATTCTATGATTCTATCATTCTACTATGATTCTAACATTCTAAAGAAAAGGAAAAGATATTTCTAAGTTACGTGGGCTAAATACTCAGGATGCAAATATCTTTAAAACCTGGCCGTCTTCTCCTAAGCAGCTGTAATTCTTTTGACCTTAGGTATAGAAACCAGTATTTCAAATGACCCTTGAATGCATTTCCAGCAGTGACCATCCAGCACGTTGCTCAGTCATAGAATCACAGGATCACAGAATCATTGAAGTTGGAAAGGATCTCTATGATCATCCAGTCCAACCATCTACCTATCCCTAACATTGCCCACTAAACTCCCTTAAACCCTAATCTTCTCCAACCCTGATTGATGGAAATAATGTTGTATTTTGCAAACATTTGCCTCCCATTGAACTCATCTTCTCCAGATCCTCATGAACTGCACAAGATGTGATAAATCAGCAGCACACCACGCACCGACACTAACCTCATCACTTCCTTTTATAAGTTCACAGATATCTGCAACAAAGGAAATGCAGTAGATCTCACTTGTCTGGGCTCCAGTAAGACATTTGAGATGGTGCCACACAGTAAATTATTAGCTAACGAGGAGGAGATGTGACTGGCATACATAACGTAACGTGGGTAAGAGAGCTGCCTGAAAGGAGCATGGTAACAGCTTCAGCTGGAAGTGGAAATGCTGGACTGAGGGGAGGGTTACCAGTACAGTTCCTTGAATTTCTGTGTCAAAAAAAAAAAAAAAAAGATTCTGCTTAACATTTGCATTAATGATCTTGGCACAAAAAGCAGAAGAACGCAAAGGAAATTTGCTGATGAGGCAGAATGAGATGCTATCATCAATCCAGAAGCGGCCAGGATATCACAGAGAAAGATTACAATGACCTTGAGGACTGGAGGAATGGGGGAGGATTTGATTCAGTGGTGCAGACTGTACAATGCTGCTTCTGGGAACAACAGAGGGCAAGAACAGCCATCCCTGTGCTGGAGCCCATGGCAACGTCTGGGGCCGGGAAAGACCCATGCTACAAATTATAGGATTGGGACAAGGCCCCAGTGTTATACAGCAAGAGAAGAAGCAAATGCAATGAGCTCGGGGTAGGGACTAGGAAACAAGGGGTTCTGGCTGATCTGAGGGAAACCATCACAGAAGCCAACACCTGGGTGGAAAAGAGCTATTTCAGCTAGTGAGCACTGCTGGTATAATGATACAGGGCTAGAAGCTGGCTGTCAATGCAAACAGGTGGGAAATTACATTTTCACCTGGAAGCAGGCAGTTTCTCAGATGGTCTTCAGGTGAGCAGGATAGAAAATGCCATCACTGTCCTGATGGACATAGTTCTGTTGACTTTCCTCCTGAATGCAGGCTGATTATCTTTAGGCCTGTGCACAGCTGCCTTTTAAAGCCCTATTTTAAAAGCTGTCCCTAGCCACAATGCTGTTTTGAAGAGAGAAGTTCCATGGGGCCATACCAAGTCAGTCTGTTATCCCAGGGCAATTGCTGCATTCACTTGTTGTCCTCCAGAACAGGAGGTGACTTTGGTGGTTATCTTCTCCAAATCATCTCTTGTGAGTCCCTCAGAGCTTCCTAGGCTGATTCTCTGGTGAGTCAAAAGATTCTTACAACACTGCTTTAAATGATCAGTCTATTTCTATTGAGTTCCTCTTTTTTTTTTTTCTGGAATCTCCCTTCTAGGCTTACTGGCACATTATTTCAGGGTTCAGCTTGCATGCCTTTCCCCTTGCTTCTCTCATCCCCAGGATGCAGGGCTGAGTCATAAGGTTATTTAATGGTCTCCCACTTCTATGCCCCCAACCAGCACCCACAGCGTTTCCCTACTCCCTGGCCAGCCATGAAGCTCTCTTTGGACAGTTTCTTCCACTTCTCAGCTGCAGAGGATTGTTTTTCCATAGAATCATTAATGTTGGAAAGGCCTCTAAGATCAACTAGTTCAACCATCCACCTACCACCAGTACTGACCACATCCTTCAGTGCCACATCTCTACAGTTCTTGAACACCCCCTGGGACAGGGACTCCCACACCTTGCTGGGCAGCTATGCCACTGCATCACAGCTCTTTAGGGGAATAAATTTTTCCTAATATCCAACCTGAACCTCCACTAGTGCAACTTGAAGCCATTCTTTTCTTTCCTTCCGTGAGCCTCTGAGGAAGAGCACAGGAGGTTACAACCCATTGGGCAAGCTGTTGCACCTCGTCTTTACTTTTAGGACCAAGTTTGAAGTAATGGCAGACATCAGCCCTTTGCTACCCCTCAGGGGCAGCTCCTTCCTTCAAATCTCATGCCATACCCCTGCTGAGTGTAACTCTGCTCCTACAGAATGACACCTTCTCCTCCCAGGAGAGATGTTGCTCCTGATTCAAAGTGTTTTTTGGTGTGAAAGCTGTTCTTTACCTAATCTCCATGCAGCCCCAGGGCTGGGCTCCATGTTGCTGATCCTCGTCTCCCTGAAATCATAGAATCATAGAGAGGACCTTAAGGATCATCCATTTCTAACCCCTGCTGTGGGCTGTTTCCCCCTGCCAGGCTGCCCAGGACCCCTTACACGGCCTTGAGCACCTCCAGAGATGTGGCACCCACAGCTCCAGGCAGCAGTGCCAGGGCCTCACTGCCCTCTGAGTAAAAAATTTCTTTCTAACATCAGATTTGCCTTGTAGGAAAACAGAAAGGAGAACCAAAGAGTGCAGGAAACCAGAAATAACAACGCATAGCTCAGTGTTTCACCTAGACCCATCCTTCACCCCCAGATGTGCTATTAGGACTAATGCCACACGGCCGTCGGAGCAGGCGTCGCTGTGCTGCTTTTGCCCTACACACCCATGCACCACTTAGAGACCACCAGATATGCAGATGTTAGTGGGGAAAGGTGTCTCAGTTCGGATGTGCCTCGTTTCAAATTTCTCCTGATTGCTGGAGAGCTGCTCTGTGGGTACCAGACCAGTCCTGCTCCATGCCACCCCCACAGCCCATCCCTTGAAGGAATAATGGAGAAGCTGGAGTGGGCTCACGCTCAGACTCAATTCCACGTTGTGAACTTGAGATGAAAGAGAGGGAATTGGTGCTCACAGAGCTGAGAGCAGGGTTACTACAGCCTGTGTGGCTCAGCTGATCCCAAAGGTCTCTTTCCAAGGCCTGATTAGTGGGTTTACATTCTGAGATCTTCAAGCATCTTTGTGACATAACATTCAAAGTAGGGGTGCCGCTTAATGCCCTTTATCTCTTGAGGTTTAAACATGAGTGCAGGGATGTTTGGGTACAGAAGGACACAGGGAGTTGGCAGCCACCTCCAGCAACAGAGAGAATATTCTCAGGCACAAGAAATAACAACAGATCCTGCTGGCTCAGAGTGCACATGGCTAGACAGGAGTGAGGCAGCAGCACAGCCTCTGCTGCTGAAATGAGCTGCAGGGCTGACAGCCTGCTTGCAAGGAAGAAGAGGAAGAAGCCTGAGAGTAATTCTGCAACAGCAGCCAGCAGAGGCAGGATGTGAACTCATCACGCTGCCGATGTCTGGGCTCCCTAAAAACAGCAGCACAGGGAGGAGAAGGTCAAGAGATGACTCAGGAGACTGCAGCACCCACCTTGTGGTGCCAGATTAACCCTGTAGCCCAGCAAGGTGAATACAGACTGGCTGATCTTCACAACTGGATGAATCAGAGGATACAGAGAGGATTTGGTGGCTCTGAAGATGCTGAGATGCCTCAGCACAGTGGGCTCAGGAGTGAGGGCACACACACAAGTGGCACTGGTCGGGGGACAGCAGTAATGCCTCAGCAGATCAGGCAGGAACTGTATGCAACCATTGTTTGCTAACACTGGATGAAGTCTAGTGACAACTAACCTGCACTTCTTCACTCCTACAGCTCAGATCAGGAGCAACCAGCTGAGTAAGAGCATGTGGTTTCCTATCTGTGCTCTTAATGAAAGCAGGGAGAGCCCCTCAGGGTTAGAGCAAGTGGTTTTTCAGGGAAACAGAGAAAACAAGGCTGTAGAAAGTCTTCAGCTTCCACACAGAAGATAAAGGCTCACTCCAGGAACAGACTTCCTCACTCTGCTTAGCATTCCCTCTCTGCTGCTATATTTTCTTCTTCCATTTCTGGTTTTAGTACGACACTAGAATATCACGCCTTAATCAGCATGTTCAGTTTGTTCAGTCTCCCTTGTAATAGAATTAGAGAATCACAGAACAGTTTGAGAACGAAGGGACCCTTAAAGGCCACCTGGTCCCACTGCCCACAGTGCACAGGGATGCTCACAGCCCTTCAGCCTGACCCCGGGGGTCTGCAGGGATGGGCACCACTCCTCTCTGGGCACCCTGTGCAGTGCCTCACTTCCCTTACTGGAAACAACTTCTTTCTTATACCCAGTCTAAATCTCCCTTCTGTTCGTTTGAAGCTGTTTCCCTTTGTCCTGTCACAACAGAGCCTCCTCGAGAGTTTGTCCCCCTCCATCACACAGCCCCTCCTTGGTAGTCCTTTATGTATTTGTATACTGTTCTCAGGCCTCTTTAGATCACTCATGACGTTTCCATGCTCTGCAAATTTAACAGGCCTGCACTTGTTTCAAAGAGCACTAATGAAAATATCAAGCAGCACAGGATCTGTGGGGTCCCACAAACTTGTGGCTCACTCAGAAGATCCATTTTCACCTTCAGAAATCCATTTAGAGATCCACTCAGAAGGCCGTTTTCAAAGTTAGATGATGACAATCATAGAATGACTTGGGTTGGAAGGGACCTTAAAGACCATTTGGTTCCAACCCTCAGCAGCCAGAGCTCCTCCAGGGATGGGGCACCCACAGCTTCTACAACTTCTGACACAATTATGTGTCAGGACTATTAGAGGATATTTCTGCATCACTGGGAGCTGGCTCATACCCACGGGACTAAGCTGTGCATGTAATAATCGCTCCTCAGACTACAGCACTTACACATTTTGAATTCCAATCAAAAATTATGACAGGTTAAACTCCAGGAAGAGAACAACAGCAAGCTCAGGTTGGTGTGGGAATGTAGACATTGGCAGACACTGTCAAACAGTAATGTAGGGCCTCCTGGTTGTTCCGAGCTGATGAGAAGCACATCTGAACAGGCTGCACTTTAGCACCATCTGCTGCCTGCAGGTCCACGGACCATCACCACAATCAGCTCTGTCTCCAGCCCCAATCATTCAAAGCTGCTGGCAGCATCACTCAATGAACACCTCGGTCTTATGGATGACAAATTTTGCAGTGACTGATTAGAAAAGCGTATCTTTGTTCTCCACTTTGCTTTGGGGGAATTCAGGGCTCACACTTCTCATTTTCTCCAAATGAAGGAAAACCCCACGCTCTCAACACAGCTGTCATTGTTTGATGAAGCAGCCAACGCTGCTGGTGAGCATGAGCATCAGCAGCACCAATCACCAAGTATAATCACTCAAGTATCTACTCAGGTTTTAAGCAAACTTCTCTTTGCAGTGCCTTCCCAGCAACAGACCAGTATATCTACATTCACCTAGTTTTCTGCAATAATTTCTTGCCGTTTTGTTAATCACCTTTCAAACATCTGCACAGGTACGTGGTGCTGTAGAAGAGCAATGCACAGAAAGAATACCTCTAAGCCCACAGGCTGAGAACAACTTGTGCAGATAGTCTTCCTTTCAATCTGGCAGCAGTGGGACTCCGTCCTCCCTTGCATTGTGGCACACAGGATTTTTACCAGTTGAGTCCAAAGAAATGAATAAAACGTGGCTGTGGAGCATTTCACTTCCCTCCTGCCTCATCCCATGAAGCAGCTCAAATATGACAGAGAAATAAAGGATAAGGGTATAAGCTTTGTTATTTACATCAGGACATAAAAGAGGAAACTGGAGGACAGGGAAGTCCCAGCACTCTTCATCCGTTCCTCTCCCCATGCAAGAGCTGAGAAAGACAAGTCCAGAACTGCTTTTTATTTTTTTTCACTGTTTCCTATCTCATCACTGTCCATTTCTGGCCAATGCCACCAGCCCAACATTGGGGTTTTCACAGCATCTGCGTCTGCCTCTTGTGTCTTCTCCATCTCATGTGGAAGGCTTTTCCCCAAACCAGATTTGGGGAAAATCAGAAATTATGTATGCAATAACCTGTAAAAGTATCAGAGCCATGAAGAGATTTAGACTGGATATAAGGACAAAGTTGTTTACAGAAAGGGCAGTGAGGCCTTGCCCAGGGGTGTGATGGGGCCCCATCCCTGCAGACCCCCAGGGTCAGGCTGGAGGGGCTCTGAGCACTGATGGAGCTGTGGGTGTCCCTGTGCACTGCAGGGAATGGGACCAGATGGCCTTTAAGGGCCCTTCCAACTCAAACCACTCTAAGCTTCCCACCACTCTTCCCTCCTCCTTCCAGCAGCAGCAGCAGCCACTCTTAAGGCTAGGAGAAAAGACAGCAGGACAGGGTTGCAGATAGCAGTTACGTGTATTCTGCCATGTAACTGTCATGACTGTTAGAAGTCTGAGCAGAGAGCTGGCTACGGATGCTATCCCCCACTGTGCTCAGCTTGTTGTAGATGTATACAGAGGGGATTTGCATGTTTGTTCTTGCAAGTTGCCTTGTTAATGCTGTTGCAATATTGACACACCACTCAGTTCAAAGCTGTTACAAGCAAGTGAAAATTGAAGCTTTTTATTTCATGTATTTTCTTTAGTCTTAGCTTTTGGAACTAGATATTTACCATTAGCATCTATTTTTTACACCATGTCTCACATGCTCAACTGTGCTACTATGTTAGCTACAGCTGCGTATCGCCTGCTTCCCCAAAGTCCTCAGACTGAAGATTTATTGGTGAAACAGACACACACACAGAATGAGAAAATATGAGCAGGTTTTCCTAATAAGGCAGACATCTTGCTGCATGCACCTCTCCATCAGAAGCAAGTCCAACTTTAGCAGACATCACTAACATCTTTTGTCTTTGTCTCATTTTGAAGCTGTGTCACACAGAGCTGGGAAACAAGTTAATGTATGCTAAGTTTGCTGAAGCGGCAAGCAACAGAAAGTGCTCGATCTAGTTGGAAACGTAGAGAGAACAGAAGCTTTGCATTCCAAACAATGGGATTCCCCCAGGAACTAGAGGATTTGAAGATGTCCAATTCTACATCTGGAATTACACACTGAGATTTCTCACAGAGAAATGAAAATCAATTAAGTGAACAGAGAAACATTTGAGGAGGAAAAGGAAAATATTTGGCAGGCAAACACTACAAGGTTGAGCAGTTCTGTAAGAGTCACGTCCCATGGACAGGACCCAAACCAGAATTAATCTATTGTGTAGGTGAACACCAAGCTGATGGACAATTTTCCTTCTCATCCCAAACGTCTCCCAAACACCTAGCATCCCTTCTACACAAAATGAACCATCTTGGTAAGTCAGTGTGTAGAATTACCTAGGGGAGGAAGGCTTAGAAGTATAAAGTGTTTTTTCAAAAGTGCATTAAAAAGTAAACAGTGCTCCTTTGGGTGTATGGTTACCACTGTACCCAAAGCCATGAGCCATTTTACACTGGCAGTTTTAGTGCTCCCAGCTCATGCAACCTGCTTGGAAGCCAAATGGCACTGCTACCTATTGAACCACATCTCTGTGCTGATGGCTGTCAGGAGACAGAGCTGCACCAGCGTTCTCATGTGGGTGCATTTTGTGGCAGCCAAACAGATGCCATCAGGTTCCACCAGTCTGGTAAGGAAACGAGGCTCTTCAAATGTAGATCACATCTGAGTCATGCTGCTGAACCTACATGCAAAGCAAATGGGAAAAATTAGTTCTGCTCTGAACTCCTACTGAAACAAAACCTACTTTGCCTTAGTCCAATTTCTCCTTTTCATCTGACCAGAGTCTTCTACAAGATGCCTTGTGATGGCTTTATCTTCCCTCTTGAAACAGATCTATTTGCCTTAGCCTTGCATGGGGTCAGGTTAGTCTTAAAACATTTGTTATTTGCAATAGAAAGAACAGCTTTCTCAGTTGTTGCTACACTGAACTTTTTTCCTTCTAGTTTTAAGCACACAACCCCAAAGGTTCAGACCTTGAAGGTTATATGCTACAACCTCTAATTGATCCTGAAAACCCCAGTTTTGTTTATTAAAAAACATCAGGGTTTCTTTACTCTCAATATATCACTGCCGGGAGAAAGCTGACTTCTTTCCAGTTGCACAGGACTGTGCATTCCTACAGTTCTTCTTGAACACACTGCATCTATTCTTCACTCAAGAAAGAAGAAAAATGGGTTGACTTTATTCTGTAAGACCAAATTCATTATTTCTATAGGATATTTGTTCTAAATTGTCTCAGAGCACATCCTCATTTCCAAGCCTAGCTGATATAAATAAAGTTTAACAAATTCTACTGCACACGGGCATCGCTTTCATTTACCAAGACTTAAAGTTTTGTATTCCAGCTTTGATCACAAGGGAGAAAAAACTCCCTTGAAGTTACAGAGTGATGCTTCAATGAAGGCACTCCACACTTGTGGAACAGCCATGCTTTGTGACCTGTTGTTTGAGGGGCAGAGAGAGTTGGATAAAACAGCCCCATCTGTGGAACTGTTTGTGGTTAGACTTGATGATCTTGAAGGTGTTTTCCAACCTGAGCAATTCTATGATTCTATAAAGCCAACCACACTTTACTACCCTGAACTCTAAACCTCTGATCAATATTTAGGAATTTACTTATCTGCTTACCTTTACAATCTGTTTTCTGGTTCCTGTGCCCACACTGTTGGCAATCAAGGAATTGGTTTGAAGAGATGACTTCTGCACTGGCACTGTGTGTTGGATTTTGTTGGTACAAGGCCAGCTGCTTGTAGGATTTAATGAGTAAGCAGGGAAAGGCCTATGAAGATTTACATCTGATGCATCGCCAGTTTCAAAGGTTTTCATCCACGATGGGATCTTTAAAAGAAAAGAGCACGTGGAAATGTAATGCCCTCTCTACATCAACATTTATTAAGCCAAAAAGAACATGAAATGCATTGCCAGAGAATATAGGTCATCCTCCCTCAGTTTTTCCATCCTCCCTTCTCTCTGAAACAATTTACTCAAGGTCACTTTTATTATATATGGAACAACATGGAAAAGCAAAGACAGCCCTTATCCTTGCCCTGGTTTGGGAAGAGTGTTTGTGTATATAACAAGAAACTTCTGACCAAAATCTGAGTTTAGTTCTTTGCTGCTTGAATAAAAAGAAAGCCACAACTTTTACAATAGATTAATAGCAACCACAAAGCACATAGATGAGAATGTGATGCAAACCACGAGAGACCACACTATGCTTAAAGAAGTGGCAGGAATTTAGGTTACATACATTTCCTAAGGAGCGATCCAAGGATCCCAATACTTCATTCCAGTGAGAGTAAAACCCAGACTGTTTTTCTTCTAGTTTCAAAGCATGAATTTCAGACTTCAGTTCTTTCAGTCGATCTTCAAATTTTTTGCTCTTTTCTAAGTAATCTAGCCTGTAGTCCACACATCAGAGACAAAAAGCTTACTAGCACAACAAAGCTCAATAATGAGATAAGGAGAGGAGATCTTAGCAGAATTTTGCCTATACATACATAGGCAAAATTGAGTCTGTTACATGTCAGCCTCACTTCTCTGCTCCAGTGAGAAGGAAGTTCACTTCAACCCCTCAGTATTCACTTTCTAACCAAGAATTTCCCTCTAGACCAGGAGGAAAAGGCTGTGAATCAAACCAATACCACACTCTAACACTAGAGGGAAACTTCTGTCCTCTAATTTGCAAACAAACAACTTTGTGCTTGACATAATAGTCTCTAAGACAAGAGGGTTCTGGACCTGTCATGATTTGATGCCACCATGAAACTCTTTCTGTGTATAAAACAGCAAGTCTTACAGACACATAACCTGCACCAGTTCAGTAAAAGACCTCCAGTCATACCTACAACAAGAAGACTGTCCTGAGGTGTTAAGGATATGACCTGTTGATTCCCAAAGAATTTTTCTTTTCTGTACTTTCCACAGTTAATAGATTCTTCTTTATTTACACCACAAGCATATTGATACCTCTCTCGCTCTATCTCGAAGGACAGTCTCTTGAGGTCAATGTCCTTCAAATCCAGCTTGATGGACCCTTTGTCAAAGTTGGCATCTCTGGTGTCAGTTGCAAAGTAGTGTGGGTACTTGACCATGTGCTGAAAGAGCCAAAACAAGCGCTGTTGGTAAGATGTGACCGACTTTGGATTTCTCACCAGCTTCTTCAAGAGTGCCATGCTGAGGCATTCCATGAGGTACCATAGATTATGAGAAACAAATGCTCCTGAAGTCCTTTCCATCTACCTGAGTGGCCCCAGATGGACTGCCACAGTCCACAAGCCTGATCCAAATGCAGAGAAATATCTGGACTGCAGTGTTCCTTATTTCTAGCTAAAATGGAAATTCATTCTCAGCAAGAGTGAAGCAGAAGAGCAACTGGGGCACACAGCCCTAGCATTACCTTCTTGCTTTGTCTGAAGACACCCACGTGCATTTCACGTGTCAGGACAACACAGCTGGTTCAGTACAACCACCTTCACAACATACTGCCTGACCGAGATGGCACAGAGTCAGCATCAGGCATGAATGCAGGCAAGACCATCTCTGCTCCCCAGTTACAAACAACACCTGGTTTTGGTTGGTTCAGTTTTTGGTGGTGGTGGTTTTGCTTTTTAATATTTGTCTCATCTTTAACTTCCAGGCTCAATGCACTGAACAAATTTAACTTCAATTGCAGCTACACTGTGTTCAATCAGCAACTGGTCCTGTAGGTGTTTGTCCCACAGCTAGATGGAATGTGACACAACCTACTTTGGTGAGGCTACAAACACGCAATCAATATCTGATTATCTCCCAAGATGAAGTGGTGCCCAGAACAGAAACTTACAGGATAATTGAGCCTGGTTATGTCAAAGAGTTTTTGCTTTGCTTTCCGTTCAGCTTCTCTGGCTTCATGTAGATCTTGTTTCAGATGCTCCGCTTCCTTGGCTCTGCAAAACAAGTATTCTTGTTTTCTTGAATCGTTGGTGATTTTCAGTATAGAGACAGAGCACAACAGACCTCGGGAAAAGTCCCTCCCTGCTCTCACCCCCACACTCCTGATTTGACTAAAATAGCATTCTCTCCATTTAGGCAACTCAGGAGGGGCCACACAATCCCAGCTCAAGCAGATCTAACCTCCGGTCAGATTCCTTCACCAGCTTCACTGCTATCAATTCTGCCTCCCGCATCTTTTGCTCCATCAGCCGTTTCTCCTCCTTGGTTTTCAGAGCTGTTATCTCCAACCTCTGTCGCTCTTGCTCTGCTTCTGCAGCATTCTGGGCCAGCAGTTTCGCCTCTTCTTCTGCAATCTGAGCTTTCTCAGCCAGCAGCTCTGCAGCTTCCTGGGATCGAAGCTAAGAGGAAACAATTTGTTGTAGTTACCTTGCCTAGCATCTTCAATTTCATCCTTGAAGTCAATCAGGAAGAAGATTTTTTTGTCAACAGGTCAAGGGATAAAAATGTTAATCCTTAAAGTAAAAACAGTTGAAGGGTTTGGTATTACTCCACTGCTCTAGAATCTCTTATCTTCTGTCCTGCCTCTCGTCTCTAACAGCAAAGAGACTGTTGTTCTGAGATGGACAGAGACATCAACCAAAAACTGACAGAAGTTGATCCCTCCAGCTGTCAATGCCAAATGCAACATGCGCCACAACGTTACTTACTTCAGGAACTCTCCAGTTTTGTGTAAGCCACAACTTCTAGAAAAGAAAAGAGCTCCCAAACCAAGAAAGCCCTTCAAGCACAGGAATATTCAGCTGGCGTGCTACTCACCAGGGCCTCATTGGCTTGCCTGGCTTCGTCTTCCAGCTGGAAAAGTCGCCTTTCCAGCTCTTCTTTGGCTCGCTCAGCTTCTTCTCGGAGCTGCTTCTCTCTGGCCAGCCTTTGATTCTCCATCTGGAAAGAGAAATACCACATTTGTGGGTTTGCAGCAGAGTCGCATCTGGGGCTGAGGCAGCATAAGAAACTAATCTAACGGAGGACGGACTGCTCTCAAGCTGGTGAGCTGACATTCAGCAGGGATGCCGTGCTGAAGCTACTTACACTTTCAGCAGAAATGAACTCCACTAACTGGTAACACCAGTTATTGCAGACTGCTGAGAGAATGCTTGGATCGATCTGCTGTGTCCCCAAATCTTTCTGATCACCTATTTGGTTTCACAAACATCACTTACATCTTCAGATGCTGCATACACACACAGAGCTGTTCCCACACTTAATTCTTCTGTGTTTTTTCACCTCCTACACACATATTGAAGCAATGTATGGACAGCAAGGGCACCAGCTGGAATAATAATTAGCATTTTCAGTAACAGAGGAGCAGAAAATGTACCTTTTTTCTGGCCTTTTCTTCCCTGGCTTGTGCTTTCATTTGCTGAATTTCTATTGAATCCACTTTTCTTCTCCTCATAAATAGGTCGTGGTTTCCAATGCACAACTGCAGAATCTGGATCAAAAAGAAAAGAAGATGTGATTGTGACATAACTGTACCCCATCCAGAGGGAAAAAGAACCCCACAGCAGCATGACAGGTCAGAAACTGACATTTCTCACTCCAGCACAAGAGCTGGCTGTTGCTTCCCTTCCAAAGAAAGTGACATCCAGGGCAGGCTGATACCCAGATTTGTAATAGTTTAGAAAAGTTCATAACAGCTTGTGGGGCTCTCTTTCCATCCCTCATCGCTGTCTGGTTTCAGTTTCCTGAAAAAGAACAGGCAGTGGGTCCAGGCCAAGAGATAGTTGTGTGGGAACCGTCACCTGTGGTGGCCCCTCCACAAGCTCAGTGAGAAATGGTCCAGCCACTCTGGCTGTGCTAGGAAGCAGCCAGGGATGACAGAATGAACCAGCTGATTAGGACCCTCTCCTTGTTGCTTCTCTCAGAAATATAGATGCAGAAGTCAATTAAGTACCCACCAGGAGTCAGATAGGCTGATGCCGCAGTGGATTTGCCCCTTTCATAAAACCATAAAGGTTGGAAAAGACCTCTAAGATCATCAAGTCCAACCATCACTCCATCCCCACCATGCCCACTAACAACATCCCTCAGCACCACATGTACTACACCTCCCCTTCCTGTACCTGCATTTCCCTTTGCAATTTGGGCCTTCCTTCGCATCTCATTTTTCACCCAACATCTCTGCCAACACGGAGAGAAGACAACCATACACACCCTGCCTTCCCAGACAAAAGAATCCTATGGAAAACATGTGCTGAAATTCAATGCTCCCTGGCCTTTGCACAAGTTTACAGCTCAGTATTGCCAGCCCAGTTTTAGAGGAGGAAAACAGGACACTTACCAATTTGTTTACCTTGAGCTGAGAGGAAAAGAACTTGAAGACTTCTGCTTTTTTGTCAAGAGGTTTAATGGTTAACTGTTCAGATAGAAGGGGAAAAAAATGAGAGGAAGCAGTGAAAAGGAGGAAAAACAAAGCTGAAGCTATTAATACTTATGCAAACTTTTGCCCATCTCCATTTCTCTCTAGGGAAGCAGCGATTTATGCCACAAACACAGGGAGAGTGATACCAAGTGCTTTGCTCACAAGAATCAGAACCAGGGCTGCTCTCTTTATACAGGCCATTTTGGAAGATAAAGCCTCCCACAGAGCCACATCTGATGCCAGTTTGGACGATATTTTTCATAATAGTACCACCTGTGCCTTGCAAACTGTACTGAGAACACTGGAACACGCACTGGCTAGCAGGAAAAACAGAATGCATTGCTAGGAATCTGACTTCTGGGTGTAAAGTAAGGCAGATGTCAAACCCCAATCTGAATCCCAAACCATTTCAGGTGCAAACGAAGCATATCACAAAGGCCTGAAGGATTTGTTCTTCTGACCATGAGATAGCACTACCAGAGCTCCTGCCTTCTCACATTTTCACTGCTATCTCCCAGGCTGTTTCCAGAAGAGATAAAAGGTTTTCATGCCGCCAGGTCAGTATGCACTGTTTTACTTTACATGCTGCGCTGGGTTTGGCTGCATAATAAAAAACAGCCCCATTCTTTAAGATCCTTCTCTCTGTGACTCATGAGTTAGCACTCTATTCCTGTAATTCATTTGCAATGCAGCGTATAATTTCAAGCCCTCTGAGTCACCAAGATCTTAACGTACTACAGCTCATTTCAGCCTGCAGGTAACAACTGATGGAGTGCTCTGCCTCGCAAGGAGCAAGGCTGTGAAAAAATAAAGCAGAGCTTTAATAGAGGGCTGCCCAATTCTCCAACAATAGGAAGTTATTCACAGACCAGAGGGGAAATTTAAAGTCAAGGAAATGAAATTCTTCAGAGATAGAGCCCTCCTGTAGGCTGCCCTGCCTGTTGTATGCACGTGTCAGTCCAGGCAGCAGATCTCATCCTGTTTTTTGAGTTGATGTTTTGTTTTTTAGGAGGCCCAAAGAAAGAAAGGAAAAGACCATGCTGTCCTTTGGCTGACAAATTCCAGGTATGCTGGCGCTGATGTGATTTTCGGGTTTTGTTTTTCTGATTACAGCCTTCCATGTAGCCACACGGTTTGAAAGAGCTCCAAATTTCACCCATTTCCCACCATGCTTTCTACAAGTAGAAGATGGGCTCCGAAATCTCAGTGGAATTGGATTGGAAGGGCAGTGCTGAAGGCTGACACCATGCACTGATAAACTGGAAAAACTCAGGCAGAGAAACGTGTACACCTCCCTGCATGCCTCCGCTTGCCAGTGTGCTTCAGACCTCATTTGCAGGGATAACTTCAGCATGCAAAAATGGCATTAAGTCTTTATGGATCATCTAATCCCTGCTGAGATAACTGAACTCAGCCACGGCTGACGTTCATAATAACTATCTTTTATGGAGACCAACTTGTTTTGCAAAGGACAAGCAGCAGGGAAGGAACCAGAAAAGTGGGCTCTCTCTGGAGAGCTGAGAGCAGCCCTGGGCTCTTAGGGGAGCCAAGATTACGCAGCACATCAGAAGGACAAGTTAGTTTTCGTAACAAAGCTCCCTAGGATTTTCCCCCTCCCCCAAATTATTTAAACAGAGACTGCTTTCAGCCTGTTCCAAGAATCCCAGTCCACACCCTCGCCCATATTAAAAGAACAATATATCAGATCCAGCCTACCTCCTTCTCACTATAGGAAATGTTTCTGATAGCACTCCACTCAAACGATTTATTTGGAGAGAACCTGTTATTAATGCTGTAGATATGAATCCCTTTGGCATCAACTCCGAGCAGGAGATCGGTATGGTTTTTATTTTGCTGAAAAACAACAGATATTGATAAGCACTCCTTCTGGTGACATTAACAACCACAGACACGAGCCATGCTTTTCTAATACACCCATATTTATTTTTATTTTTATGAAATGACTGTTTCTACAATACAGACGATGAATGCTGCCACTTTTAGCCAACAAATCCAATTGAATAAAGCAGCTCAAACTTCTCGTTTATTTCTCCTTCTTCCCATTACATACCCAGAGCCATTCAAGAACTTAGTGCAATCACAGAGCAGAACCTTTGCTGTTGTATCCACCTACTCTATCAGCAGGCAAGCAAACCAAAGCAAACCAAAAGAGGACAGTCGCTACAGAGCCTCCATACAGCAGAGAACAGCAGAACTCAGGAATGCCAGCTCCAGACTCCCTGAAGGATTTTAGAACAGCGCTACCATCACCTGCAGCAATTGCAAACTGCTCAAATACAGCACTTACAGCAATGGGAAAATAATTGACACCATACATTTCCAAGTCTTGGGCAATTTTCAGGTAGTTCATCTCAGCTTCATCCCTAGAGAATAAGGCGATGATTACACTTGTGTCCAATCTCTCTGTCCTAACTGACAGTATATTTCCCACTTCAAAAAGAACAGCCATTCTAGACCTTCGTACTTTCTTTAATTTCACTGTCTTACTCTCAACAGAAAAGGGAATATAAAAACACCATCTCTAAAGAAGACAAAGCTGTATCTATTTTGATATGAGTCACATATAGTGCGATCTTTACTAAAATTCAAGTCCAGTCTTATCCTTGTGGGTTAATTTTGCCACTCCAGCATCATCACTTCTTGGAGACATCCTCTACTGCTATTTTCCTTATATTCCCTTTGGGAAGCAAAGCTGGTAGAGAAATTCTAAACAGTGCTTTGGGCTGAGTTGAAAGCAGCTAAGCCTCTCCACTCCCTGTTGTTCTCCCTCCAAACGGAGGCATCAAGTCTTGAGGAAAATATTCAGGAAAGATAGTGCTAACATAGGAGAGCCAATAAAAAACTGAACTGAAATCACAGGACAGGCTGGCTGTGGTGCCAGCAGCTCCCACCTCATGTTTAATTGAATTTCCAGGTACTCTGAATGTGTTAGAAGCAGCTGAACATCCACATGGAGTAGCACCAAAATTCAGTCCTGGAACTACGGCTCGATGCCCGTGGTGCTGTGGTATCCTCCTAAGTACACTGACAGCTTTTTGAACCATGATTTTAATCATTGTTATTATTTATTTTACAGGGTATAAAATACATCAGATTTTAGACTTTTAGGTTGTGAAGCTCCGCGAAAGCTCTCAACTTCAAAGCTAGTCCAGTTTACAAGCACATGGTGCCCTATGTGCAATGATACTTCTACCCTGGGGGAATGGATTTTTTCACCCTTTCTTAACAAGCAAAGCTCCTAGCAGCACAGCCTGCAACCCTGTATCTCTTTGCTCAGTTACAAACACCAAATTTCACTGAAGGCCGCAAAGAAGTGGTTACTGATCAATACAGGATTTCCAAACAATGAAATTATTTCATACCTGGCAATACCCCTATGCTCAGCATACCAAGCAGTAATCTTTTCTTCCCACATCTCTGCTGTCAGCTGATACTGCCTGAGGACCTACGGAGGAAGGAAGGAGGCAGATTTCATTTGAAGACACAAATACTTGTGCTGCCTCTCCCAGGCGCTGTGAATGCAGCAGTGAGTTCACAGCTCAGCCACTTCGCCACATGCAAGGCAAACAATCAGTTTGTATTGCTCTAGTTAGACCCAAAGCTGCACCCAAAGGGGAGATGCAGATTTTGGTTCTATACATAATACAGACTTACCCTTTTGGGTAGAAGTTCATCATGGGCAAGAAAGCCTGGCTCGTGAAAGTTTGGGTCGTAGTCACCATACTGTCCCAAGGGAAAAGAAAGAAGACACTTCAGTTTGTTAGGTACAGAATGCTGAAGGACTTGATGGCTGCAGTTTGATGACACAAAGTTTGGTTTGGTTGTCCCATACAGTGTGAGGACAAGAAAACAGGCTCCCCTCATCTGAACCATGGGCTCTTGGTGGCACAAAGGTAACCATGCTCTGAAAGATGCTAACGAATACTGCCCTGCCACTGCGCAGCACCTCTGAATCCATGGACATTTTTATAACAGGGGATAACTCCAACTGGGAGAAAAATTATATTAAAATGCTAGATGCAAAGAAATCCCAGAAAACTATGAAAGCATAGCATAAAACAGCAAACTAATTTCTTCTCCAAACCCTTGTAATGGTAATCTAATGGCATCTAATGCTTTTTTTCCCAGCAGCATTTGTGCCTCCCAGCATGACCCAATTTAACAGCAAAGCTTAGCACTTGAGTATTTTATGTATCACACTCTATATGTGTTTGGCTAAAATATGAGCACTGCTATGCACAAACCTTGGCTTGAACAGCATAAGAAGCCAGTAAAACTGTTGCCTCTGGAGAACAATAGATTTCCTCATCCAGTATCTGTTTCTTAACCTAAATTGGGGAAAAAATAGGAGCAAGTTAAAGAAGCAGCTCAAAGTCAGGGCTTACGTCAGGCTGACATGAAGTCAGACATGCCTAGACTGTAACTTGGCACCACTTATCACCATTACAAGTTAACAGCAAGTTAACAATAGTTAAAAAAGTTAACAACAAGTTAACAATAAAGTGACATTCAGAAACATAGGGAACCTTAGCATTACATATATATACACACATATTTAAGACCTTTACGAAGTTGAATGTCTTAATTCCAAGTTCACAGCAATGCAGTGGGCTATCTCCCACATTAATGCAGGGAGGCCCTTCCAACTCAGGATATTCAATGATTCTATGAACTGTTATATTTTCAATCACATTGCTCAATTTAGAGTGAGAGGAAAAAGCCTTTCTCATAAATTGGTGGAGGATATTTTAGGTCTCATGTCATTAAGCTTTTTGCTTTAGATTCTCCATACAGGTAGAACTGTGGACCTTTCTCATGCTCCCTTTTATTACCAACTCATTACCCAGAATGAAGCTGTAACGATTTTACCTTCAGCACTGAGCAATGATACAGAAGCTACTCAGATATTAAAAACCATCCTACTAAATGTGCTATACCAAATAGTGATTTGACTTGCCATCTAAAAGAGCATCAAAGGGCTACATAATCATAAGCACAAAAGAGTAGCTTTGCTACAAAACACATAAAAAGCACCTTTGCAACGCAAAAAATATCCAAGTTTTAGGTCAGAAGGGACCTCTGGATGTCACCTGGCCCAGGCAGGTCCAACCAAATAGGACTGTGTCACAGCTAAGGGCTGTGTCCAGCTGCATTTTGAGTGGCAACAGATGCATTATACTGAAAAGCATTAAGAGGATCTTTCCAAGCTTCCCAGCAGGACAGAATAAAGGACACCCCACAAAGGGAAAACTGCTTCACAGCACAATAGATTTATTCAATTACAGCGGTCTATGCACAACATAAACACAGGGCTTATAAATAAAAGCAGTATAAGCGGTAGAGAGTCTGTTAGCTTTCTTTTTGTGTAAGTAATCTATGGTGCCAGCATAATCAGAGGTAACAGTTCATACAAGGTTGCTTGATTTTAAATCCATCGGGTAATTCTACCTGGAAACCCAAAGGAGGAAGAAGAAATTAATCTTCGCAAATCCGCCTCTCAGATACAACATCCTTGGCCCATTAACAAGCACAAAGATAAGAAAATTTTGCATAATGCGCAGTCTTATACATTTCTAAAGAAGAAAAATTACTCGAGATAGCACCGAGTTGCCTTTACAGACACATTTAGGAACTGGAGGTACCGTGAACTGAAATGAACCATCAAGAAAGTTTTTCTTTATATTCAGTCTCTGGTAAGCACAGTATACGAACCTGAGTTATAGCAGAGGGAAAATTCTTTCAAAGCTGTTAAAATGGAAAGAATGAAAACACTTCTCTTCCAAATTGGAAAGCTCCAGCATTCATATTCCATGGTGCAAATAATACATTGCAGAATTGAGAACGACTTGAGACAAATACCCTGCAACCGTCTGGAGGTCTTTGGTTTGGTTTTGGGTCGTTTTGTTGTTGGTTTTAATCAATTCTATAAATACAACTTCCTTGTAAAAGGAGCAAATTATCCAACTGTTAAAGAAAACTTAGCTTTAGAGATTTACATTTATTCACAGCCTTGACAAAAAGACATTATGCTATATGAATATGCAAAATCTGAAACAGGAGGATTGCAATCTGTAGGCATCCAGATGTCAGTACATGTCCTCCTGTTAGCATCCAGGTGTGATCTGAAGTTCTTACAGTCAGGAAACTTTGCAAGTTTCAATTTGTTCCTGTCTTGTTTTTCTACTTTGGAATGAGAAGAATTTGCTAATTATACATCTACTAGTCGAGGCAGGTTCAAGGAGAGAAAAGTGAAATCAGGATTAAAAGCCTAGGAAAAGTGTTCTGCCCCTCTCATTCCTTTCCAAACTTGGTTTAAAAAACAAATCCCTGAATGGTTAAGGGTTCTAGATGAAGTTTTAATTACTGTATTAACCCCTGGATTAACAGTATTTCCCCATCACTTCGCTAGCACATCCTCCTCAGGGAACCAGTGTACGTACACTGTTTATTTACAGATGCAGACTGACTTTATTCCATAGTCCAATCTACTTGCACAGACACATACTGCTGACAGATACCAGAACAAAGCAACACAGTAGAAGGCTGCAAGAGCCAGAAAATTCAGAAATTCAGAAGAGAAGCTGGAAGGCACAGATGCTGGGGCAAAAAGCAAGTGACCATCCAAACCTCAGTGCCTGTACACCTACTGTTACAGCTGCAGGTAACTGAGGTTACTGCTCTTTAGCCACAGCATGGCTTCCCTCTTCTAGGCTGATGCACCTTTATTTTTATTTTTTGAATTGTTTATTTACTTTATTTATATAGATAACTACTTTTTATGGAGGTCATAGAACACTGAATTTCTGGGATAAAAGAAATGCCAGTAGCAAACAGGAAAGCTGCCTGTGCAAGGCTGTGAGCATCAGTGCATGCATGGGGTTACTGTTATTATTTCTGATGGCTTCTGTTCCATGGAATTTTTTAATTTGCAAAACCCACCATGGTACTTACAAAGGACAGGTTAGGAGGTTCTTGTTTTCTAGTGATTATGCCTTCTATAGTCTTATACAACAAGACCTCCCAGTAACCACTTGGGCTGCTTTTAGGAGCTTGGGAGTTTTAGTTCCAGGGATAAATTGCAGTCATGAGTCTTGTTCCATCTGCAGTTGATACAGGTAATGTCTGTATGTCCCTTACTATTTATCACTATTCCTTCCCTCTTCCTCACCTTCACAACTGCCATCACAATTGCTTGTGTAGGCATTCCATAGGTTCATACAGTTAATAGCAGATCTTTTCTAGATCTTCTTGTTGTGAAAGAACTAGGTTAGGGAATGGTTACTTAAGACTTAAGCAGATCTAGGAGGACTATGACAAGCTTTCGAGACTCTCTTCATCCAACATTAGCTGCAGCCAGAGGAGTCCAGTTGATGCAGGCCTGAAAACAACTCTTAAAGCCAATAAAAAGGAGGGTTTCACCTGATACTATATCACCACTGACCAGTTAGGGGATACACCTTAACACAGAATGGCTTGAGTTGGAAGGGATCTTAAAGCCCATCAAGTCCCAACCCCAGTCATGGGCTCGTTGCCCCCCAGCAGATCAGGATGCCCAAGACCCCATCGAACCGGACCTTGTGCATCTCCAGGGATGGGGAACCCACAGCTCTTTGGGCAAACCTGGAGAAATTCAGTCCCAGACTGACAACTGGGGGCAGTACTCTGAAGCGTAGGAAGTCTGGTAAAAAATCTGTGGTCACTAATTTACATAACTAATTTACATAACTGATCTGTTTTTATTTTATTTATTCATTTATTTATTCCCATCTGAAACCTTATCAGCGTACAGAATAAACATCTCCAAAATGTTTGGTTTTGCAGCCTTCTCTCCATTAGCTTCAAAAACAAAGTCCTCCAGGCAGTCCAGCCTAGAATGAACTGTTTCCTATTTTTAACAAAGACTACTAGAAGTTAAACAAGTCTGAAGTATCCAGATGTGGAATTGGCACCAAAGTTGCTGAACCAGTGATTGAGCAGCTGGTGTGAAGGCAGAGCCAACTCAGGGGGGCTCAGGTGCAAGCCATGTACCTGAGTGACTAAAAGGCATGGAGCCAAGATCCACCCCTTCCCAGATCTCATTTAAGGGTTGGTGAGGCGCTCTTGGTGGAGATTCCTGCATATCTAAAGGATTCTAAAGGTAAGCAGTTCTTTTCCTTCATTTCTGTATCTGTGGCTGCTGTATTTGGATTGGTTCTCATTTGCAGTAGCCAAAGACTTTGCTACCCCACTATTATTGTGGTACTTTCCATCCTATTACAGTGTGAAAAGTTGTTTACACAAAACTGCAGGTCCCTGTAATTTTAAACTCCCATTCTCTAGCACAAACAGTAAGAAGCCATTACGAGAACAAAACCCTTGCAAAAGTCAAACACTCAGCTTACCAGAATGTGAGACCGTAGTGTCTAGGAGGGATGTTTGTGTTTCATAAAAATGAGGTATTTACAGGGACAATGATACAACTGAAACCAGCAGAGTCATTCTGAGATTAAGAACAGCCAACAAAATCAAATACAAATGGACTAGGATGAACATAGAAGGATTTCAAGGTTTAAAAACATTCCTGACCTGAAGAAAGAACAAATGCTGGGTAATTTCCTGTAACAGCTCCTCTTCTACCTTCTCTGGGTAGAATTTAGCCAAAAAATGAAAGCTAATGGGGTCTTCTTTAGGAATTTCTTGATCTAAAACCTGTTTAAAGATAAAAAATCAGCGGTGAAAATAACACAGAGACATTTCAGAATAACATTATCTGGTTTCTGATTTTGGTCTGTAGTGTGGCTAATGCGACCTGTTCATAGTTCAGAAGGGCAGGCAACGAAGTAATGCATTAACAGTAAGGGTATGTGGTGGTGATTGGTGGGTGACACTTCAGACCAAACTGTGTACAAATAGACTGATTAACACTATGAGATTCAGTCCTAAAGCCATATATCATCCAGAATTATGGGTTGTCACTTAACCCGTTCCTTTAGGTCTTGAGCTTAAAAAAAAAGAAAGACAAAGAAGTCCTTCAAGAGCAGAAGATGGCTAGGTTACCATTCCTGTTTTGTATACCTTTTTGTCCATCTTTAACCAGGTGCACATTCCCTTCATTGTGTACTGCAAGCCGAAGAACCAAGTCTCCCTTAAGCCAAGCGCTCGGCACACCAGGTCAAACAAATCCTTCCCCTTCCACTTCATCTGGAAGAGAAAAAGGAAATTAAGCAAAATAGATTCATCTTGAATGATCTTGCTGTCTTTTAGGCAGGCAAACCAGGTTATTATTTGTTTTTTTTTCTCCCAAGAAATGTTATCACACTTTTAGCTTTCTGATGAAACACACCTAAAACTGCCTACAGCAAAGGCACGAGAGCTGTAATGCTCTACTTCCTTTCCTCCAAGTGCTCAAAGCTGCAGTCATTTAATCACAGCATCGGGTACTTTATGAGCAGAGGGAATGAGGGTTGTACTGCTGGTCTCTGAGGACGTGGTGAAGTTTTATTAATATTTGTAAAAATCTTACTCTACATTTTAGACAAATGAGAGAGTCTGGAGAGTAGGTCAGGGGAAATCAAAGGGGCACAGAGCAGAAATGCCAAACAATCAGAGCAAATCTGTCTTTCAGACACCTCAGCTATTTCAGTGGCAATGAGCCAAGCCTTTATGCTTCTCTGACATAAATGAACAGGAGCTTGTCTTCTAGGGGTAGGACTTAATGCCTAGTTTAGCCAGGATTGTTTTTTAATCTGGTATTAAAAAAAAAAAAGGCAACTTAATAGAGGAGATGCAGAATGAGAGTAATTTACTGCCCCAGCTACACAGAAAACAAACTTTGTGTGTGTACTTTGGGACATTTAATCACAGTATCTCACTTTTCATTGAAGAGCCTGCACATCTGTTTCTTCTATCTGGCCACATATTAAAAGATGATTTTGTCTCATCGCATCATCGGTCACTAAACTTAATGGCAAAAAAATAAACTTTTGGGCACTATTTGGATGGAAAGCAGGGAATCAACCCAAAAAGAAAGGAGTACTCGGAGAGAAAGGAAAGAGAGCAAAGGAAGGAATATATCAAGCTGGATTTGTTAACAAGGACTCTGAGCTCTGAACCAAGATTTCCAAATTCTTTATTTTCACCATTCTGTCTGCAAGTATTCTACATCCATAATTCACAGAAACACACTGCCTGTGATTTATGTGCTTTGTCTGAGTGACCTAATAAACTAAATGCTAAATGCCCCACAAGGCATTCAGCTCATTAGAATTGCCAGATCCAATAGACATCAGTTTTCTAACAACCCTTCTTTAAATACTTGCACATTTTTCACTTTTGTTGGATATTAGGAATTAATCTTATTAATGAAACTGATGCAGCCCAACTCATCCATCAACTGAACACTTGCTACTTTTGGATTCTTCCATGTTGTTCTACAGTGGTGCTTTCTGCTGCCCGACTGACTGGAGAGCCAGAATGAATAGAAGCATCTTAGTTTCAGCTGGGACAAACAATTCCTCCCAGCCGAAAATGAGATTAGAAGAGTTTCTCATGGGGACTCTTACCTCACAGCTGAACTCCATCTCAGCGTCCACCGTTATAATCTTGACTTTAAAAGTCTTTGGTTGTTTCTTCTTCAGGCCTCGGATAGACATATTTTTTTCAGTTTACAAGGACAGCCACACCTGCAACCAAACATTGCTGCATTAGGGGCTAGGAATTCCAGTAACATTTTCGTGGCTAGATAGGTAAAGGAGGGTGAGAAAAATCTTCCTCAGCAAAGGTCTTTGCTGTATGTACCACTATGCCTTCACATTAAATGCTTCAGTGGAAGCTTTGCTTGTAAATAGAGCTACAGCATACAGCAAAACCTTACTGTATCGAATGCAACTCAATGCTTTTGCATCACTTATGACTCCCTGGGCAACCAACCTACTGAATTTCATCACATTACGAGATCCTAAATCCCTGAAATTATACAAATACCAGGAATAAATATACGCAGTGAAATTAAGCTGAATTTACCAATTTCTCTTGGCCATACAAATGCACAACGATGAAAGCTATTTAGAACAATTTCTTTCCAGCAGTTTTTCTTCTGAAGTGAAATTAATTCAATTTTGAAGCAGCCTACGCAATATCCTTTTGAAAGTTTTACATTCTAAATGCAATTGACTACATACCATAAAAAAAAATAAAAAGCAACGTGCAATTTCCATTGCCACGAGGGGTTTGTGGATACCAGGCAAACCAAATGCTGAAAGTTGGGGTTAAATGATAGTGGGGATCAGCACTGTGCAATCCTCAGGTGGTTCTATGTGAGCACAAGAAGTCAGCCTGTAAAATTTTCTTTATTTTTTTTTGTCTTTAGAAAAAGAAAAACTTTATAAAATTAACAGCTCAGACTCGCACAACCCAGTTAGTACCTGTGAATTATATGGGCCAGAAAGAGACTGAGGCATTACTGGTTTCCTACAGTGTAAGGCTATTCTAGCATAGCAGACTTCCAATCTGTCCTTAAGCAATTCCAAAATAAAGGCTTAGGTTTAAACTGAGAAGCTGCATTGGTGCCCTCCAATATTTTATAAAATACCTTGTCCCTTCCTTTTCTTTTGCAGAGCTATAAATTGGCTTGCAAACACATTGAGCGTTTTCCACTTACTTTGCATGTGCCCTTTGTCCAAAAATAGCTAAACAGGAGGTAAACTGGATATAGAAGCTTTTCTTTTTGACTTGCAGGGACAGAATGGATAACTTAGGTACCAAAGCAAACAGATGTCTGCCAGTATTGAGAGCAAGAACTGGGGACAACTCAGAGTGGAGAAGACAAGCTCCGGAGGAAATTCATCTTGCTGACACCACTGAGATCAATTTGAGAGTCCTCTCCCTCCAGCTGGGGCTGTTATTTCTGCTGAAGTCTTCTGTCCAGTCTGGGGCAACACAGTTCAAGAAAGATAATGGGACAACTGGGAAGAGATCCCAAATTGAGGGCTAGAAAATAATCTGTAGTAAAATGGAAAGTACTGGTTAGTACAGAGAAGGGACAAATGTCATGAGGTAGGATTGTGTCTGTTCTTTGTGACCACGGTGGTTAGGATGAGGAATAATAGACTTAATTGCTGCAAGGTGCCAATAGTGCTAGAAGAGGATGATTCACACCGAAATGCATCAGAACAAGACGCTGTGCTTTAGGGATCGGCTTACAGGGGAGGGCTGGACTGGCTGATCTTGGAGGTCTTTTCCGACCTCTGTGATTCCATGATCCTATCATAGAATGGCTTGGGTTGGAAAGGACCTCAAGGATCATGAAGCTCCAACCCCCATCCTATCCTATGAAGGATATCCAGGAAAATACCAAATCCTTATTCTCAGGGTAAGCCCTCGTCTCTTGGAGGAATGCTTCTTTCAATGAGAGCAAAACAAATCTCAACTCGGAGTGCAGTTCCTCTATAATTCCAGCAACATCTCAGTGTGTGCTGCTAAGCAGAGCTCAGGTCCTTCTGCTTGGCACATGAAGGTCCTTTCAATTAAAGGGAAAGGAATGTTTTAAAACCACAAAATCACTGTAGGAGTATGGTGTAATGTGACCGCAGTAATACTGACAGGGAGGGCATCATGTGGAAGCATCCAAACCATCAGTAACTACTCCAGCAAGTACTTATCTCTAATCTGCAAGCTGCAGCAGAGCTAATAGCACAGCTGTTTTAACCTGTTCCACTCCAAAGCTCTTTCTTGTCTGGTTTTCCTCAAAACCGAAGGATTAATGCAAATATTTTCACTATTGGAATAGCAGTTAAGGCAGTAGAACTGCAAAGCAGAATGGAATATTGGACACAAACCCTTCTTCTGTTCACCCAAGAAGAAACCCTAAAGGCTGGAGACAAAAAGAGAAGAAATTTCATAACTCATTTCTAGCACGTAAGGTAAAACAGCCAATTTAGTGAAATAGGAACTCGGAGTTCAGGCCAGTACAGAACATTCTCAAAGAGCTCCATATGGAAAATGCTGAACAGATAGAATTGAACTGCTTCAGAAGAATGCACTTATTTTCTCAAAATACGACAAAAAAAAAAACACCAGATCCCTTCACTTTGAAGTTCGTTCGTTCTTATATAACCTGGTTGAAATGACAATATAATTTGTTCAGTGTTTCCAATAGCTTTTCTTTTTTTCTTTCTTTCCTTTCCAGAGTTTTTATTCCATGGAAAAGTACATTCTGACTCAGTGAAAAAACATTTTTGAATATCGAATTTTCCCAAGATATGTAAACTGCATTTTAATTGATGGTTCTGCTAAAGAAATATAAGAGATTTTCACACTAAATAGTGCAAGTGAACATCAGATACTGCCAACATAAGCAAAAACACTTAACAGTCAGGATTTTAGAAGAACTTTTGTATAAGAGAAATCGTGCCAAATAGTGCGATCTGGGTTTGTGGTCTTTTGTTGAAGTGCAACCATCTCCAGGTATTTGCTAACTATCACAGCTTGTAAGTGTGAATTGTGCATAATTTCTTTCAAGACTTGATTTTTGTCACTGAGCTGTAGTGATTTGTTTCAACTGCTGCCAGGGGCACCCAACCCTGAGATCCAGAGCAACAAAATGGGATTGAGCAGAGCATGGTGTAGCTTCCCAAATGCAATATTAATCCAATAGGGGTTAATGTTGGGTAATAGGGTTGCCCAAAAGTCAATGTTTCCTGTCCAGGCAGAATCTGGCAACAGACAGTTCTGAAACTGAAAGTCCACAGTTTCCTATGGAAGCTACCTATGATAAAAAGCTTTGCTTGATGAGAGGAACAGGAACACAATGATGAGGAATATGATTTGCAGGAAAAAAATTGTCCCAATGCTGCCTTTCTTCGTGTCGGGGTGACATCCACCAATCTAACTGGGTTACAGTCTCCCCTTTTCTTCACAGGAAGAAATCAGTGCCTGTGTAAAGCGTGGGGGAAGGAAATTGGGAACAGTGAGCAATAGCCAGAATAACTGGCACGGCCACTCTTGCAGTGACTGATGCTTATCTGTAGCACAGCACTCACAGGCTGCAGGGTTACACCACTGTACTACACAGCTTATCAAAATGGGAAATAACCCCTGCATCAGCCAGTACTGCCTGTATTCAGTGAAAGCAGAAACAAAGCAAATGAAACCAGTATTCCCCAAAAGCTCAATAAACCCTCAAATTCCGTGCGTTACTGAAACAGTAAGAAATACATCAATGAACATGCAATTAACCTTGCCATGAGTGAGAGTACTATTCCCTTTCAGTTCTGAATTTACAAGGAGAGTCTACAGGGCTCTCCATTGGGTATTTCCCTTCACATGGCACTTGCTCTCAGTGATTGCCTAAAGTATACACATTGTAGTAAGTCAAACTTCAGTGAAAACAGATGCTTTTGGGGCACACACAAGAAGTCAGTATTGCTTTTTAAGGGGAGCCGTTAGTCCCTCTGTATACAGGCTAAGAATTAATGGAAACTGTAGGATCCCAGTGTTTCATCCCCAGAAGCAGTCCGTCCTTCTGGGTCCAGCACATGAACAGGGCAGCAGCTGTACCCTTTGCTAGCAAAGCCCATACAGAGAAACAAAAACCCTTGTGAGTGCAATGGAGTATAAAGAAACAAGGCTCAGGAAGCATTTTAAGAGAAAATGACATAAGATGCATCAAGTGCAATTATTAACTATTACTAACAATCTATTAACACAGATAAACTCTGCTGTCATTGCTGAAGCATTTACTGCAGCTCTTGGTTGCCCTATTCACTGGAGTTCTCTTAGTTCTTAAGCTCAGAAATGAATGCAAGCAAACGGAGCACACGCACCATAAAGGAAAATGGAAAGTGTTGTGGGCTTCTTACGGCTGTTTACTCCTGAGTGCATTCCTTGCACTGCCCATGGAACAGCTTAAGAATTCCCTATTTTAAAATGGGTCAGTGCTGTGAGTATTGTTCTTACCTCTCAGTCAGAAAGAAGTTATCTCAAGGCACCAGTTGGAATCAGATCCACTTCACAGATCATTTTTTGAGCGAAGAAAAGAATATTTAACCCAGAATCTCTTATTTCTCAGAAATCAATATCCAGCTCTCGCACGCTGCCGCTGAAAATAAAATCCAGGACCAACTGTTGTAGCTGATCTCCTTCCCTTTGTTTCCCACGGAGTGCAGCATGTTAGCGCCCTCTGAAAAATCAAAGAATCGCTTTCCCAGGTGATACGAAGGGCTCTTAACCATTTCCTGCCTGTGCCAGCAAAACTCCTCCCTGCTCCGCTGTAATTCAAGCAATAAGGCACTCCAGCAGGAGCAGCCCAGGAGCCTCAACTGTAAGAACTATAATAAACTCCCAAATGACTCCCTGGACAGCAATGGATCCAGTGATTTCAGAGCCTGCAGCCATACAAAGCAGCCGTGTTCACTGCCCTCTGCCAGTGGTGACAGAGGATGGCACAACAAAGCCTGGGAAGTGGGCAGTAGCCCAAATGCAAGTGATAAAGACTTAAAAGAACAGGAAAAAAATAGAAAGATAGCCTTCATGTAGGCAGGAGCACATTGCCTCAAAATAAGGGCACAGCCAAGCTTTTTCCAGTGTTACGTTTGTAGAATGGATGTTTATTAACCACTGATTTTACAGATTTAAGCTGAATTTCTAACACAGTGGCATAACCAACAACAACCGTGCAGGTCACAATTCAGGTGGTTCACTTATTGAGGTGGAAAATCCCCACCTTTGAGATATGGAGCATGTCCAGCAAAGGGCAACGGGGCTGTGCAGGGCTTGGAGCTCAGTGCTGCGAGGAGGTGCTGAGGGATCTGGGATGGTTCAGTTTGGAGGAGGGATCTCAGGGGAGACATCATCACTCCACAACTCCCCAGAAGGAAGTTGTGGGATCAGCCTCTGCTTCCAGGTAACAGCAAAACGACAGGAGACGATGGCCTCGCATTGCGCCAGGGATCGGGTAATGAAAATTTATTCTCCAAATGAGCGATAGCGCACGGGAACGAGCCGCCCATAAGGGCGGTACATCCAACCCCCCCCCCCCCCCAGGAGGACCGCCTGCGCCTTCCACTCCTCCCCGGGACGCCCCGCCCCCCGCCGCGCGGCCTTTCCGGCCGAGGCCCCGCCCCTTCCGGCTCCGCTCTCTTAAGGCCGGTGAGGCGGCGCCGCGAAGGCTCTGGTAGCGAGTGGGCCGGGGGGCGGCGGGCTGAGAGCGGGCCTGGGCTGGACGGGCGGTTGTGGGGGGGCTCGGGCGGGGCGTGGGGCGTTCAGAGCTAACCGGTGAGCGGGGAACGGGAGGCTGGGCCTGGCGGACAGGCCTGTGGAGGGCTGAGGGGCCCCAGGGCCGTCTCTGTGTCCGTTCCTCTTCTCTGTGTCTGTTTCCTCCTCTCTGCGGCGCTGCCTCCCGTTCTCCTCGCAGCCCAGCTGTGCGTGTGAGAGATGCTTGCTTTCTTGCTTGCCTCTCCCCGCCCAGCGGCCGCGTGCTGGTAGTTAGCCCTGTTCTGCAGGTGGAGGACTCCTCACGCTTCTCTTTTCCGGGCCCCTGGGCCGTACAGCCGAGTGGAGGATGGTAAAAGCAGCCCCGTACTGTGCTGCGTGAGGCGTTTCGTGCTGTGTATGTGCTCCTTTATTCTTTTGTTTTTAATGGTTTGCATATCTGAGCGAGCGTGGTGTTAAAAAGGAAGGTTCAGCAGGTGTTGGTAGTGCTTAGCAGTGCATAGGTGGAAAAAGGAGCTGAGCATTCAGCAATTTTCATATAGACCCAAGCATCTTGGTGTTCACCATCCGCTTTTCCTGTGACTCTCATTTGGGTGATACAGAAAGCACGCCCTGTCTAAGCAGAACTAATAGGGTTGGGAAGTGCAGTGGCTTGCAGAAATGAGTTCAACAGCTAATCGTGCTTGTTGTAGGTAAGGCAGCACCCGCAGCATGATGCCTTTTGCTTTGAGAAGTGTATTACTGTAGGTTCCATGAGCTTGGCTGGTAATCATGTGATATACCCAAGTAAGTGACTTTGTGAGCTGCGTTTATAGGCTCCTGTGTTTGGGTTAGCTCCGGTCAGAATACGCTCGGACTATTCCAGCAAAGTGAGCTGCTGGAGTATGAAGTCATACTAATTTCAGTGGGTACGCATTTTTCTCTCATGTATGAAATAGAGTTATTCAGAGGAATTTTTTGACCCTATGGGATAAGGTTTCATCCTAAAAGTTACTTCCAGCATTACTGCCATCCTGAAATAACTCCCTGTAAATGTGGGCATGTTTTCATCTTCTGATGATGTAATACAAGACTGAGGGAGTACCACAAAGTGTTTTGAACTGCTTGTATCTGCCCTGTTTTTCCCACAAAATCTAATTAAGCTGTCAGTCTAGAACTAAAATCATGATTTTCCTGTTGATCAGAAACTGGTTATTTTTGTGTTAAAATAACATGTCTGCTTGCTTGTTGCCAGGCACTGGATGACCATAACTAAACAATGTCTGTACCACGTGGAGCTGTCCATGCAAAATGGATAGTAGGGAAAGTCATAGGAACCAAAATGCAGAAAACTGCCAAAGTGAGAGTGACAAGGCTTGTACTAGATCCTTACTTACTAAAGGTAAAAGCTGGTTATCTTATCTTGCCAGATAACTTTTGTACTGTGCAGAGGAATGTTTTATTAATTTGACCCATACAATTGTTGATAACTCTTCATGCTGCCAGTTCCCTAAAGGACTTGTGCTGTGATTTGGCTGTGAGGATGAGTACAGAGGATGACAAGCAGTGTGTTTTGTCAGGATGCTTCCTATACACGTTGTCTGCTAAATGTTTCTTTGAAGTGCTTTGTCAATGCACTTCTGAGTTGGAAAAGTAAGATTTGTGAGCTCACACTAATGTTTAATTACTCAGTTTTCCAATAGATTCTGCAGGCATTCTTCTGCATACATAATTGTAAGCATGTTTAGTGTTTGAATCTATATGTTGATGTGCCATGAGAGCATTTTTACTTGTAGATGCTTTTCAAACAGGGAACAATTAGTATTTTCTCCGTTTATGTGGAGAAAACTGGAACAAATAGGTGGTGTAAAAGTTTGCTTTGTTCGGAATCCTAATGCCAAAGTTTCCTTTTTTTCCTTCCACAGTTCTTTAACAAGAGGAAAACCTATTTTGCCCATGATCCATTGCAGCAGTGTGTTGTTGGTGACATTGTTCTTCTTAAAGCTTTGCCTGAGCGGAGGAGCAAACACGTGAAACACGAACTGGCTGAAATTGTTTTCAAGGTTGGAAATGTCATAGATCCGATCACAGGAAAGCCCTGTGCAGGAACCAGGTTTCTTGAAAATCTGTCAGATTCAGAAAACCTGACAGAGGCAGATACCACCTATCTAAGTGAAAAACTCCAGGAACTTAAAGTTTGTTCAACAGACAAATAGTGGAGAAAATAATTAAAGGGGGCTTTCCAGCTCATCTCTGTCAGGGATGCTTGGGTCCCTGAAATTGTATGTTAAAATGTTTTGATGAAATTTGTAGTCAAAATACGTAGCAAGCATAGTTGCTTCTAAGGACAGATGTTCCAGATGAAAAACTTGGTGCCTCAAATGAAAATATGGAAAGTGTGAGTTAAATGTTAATGCTTCATTTTGTTGCATGTAGTTCTGCCCAAAGTCTTGACACTTTCCAAAGCCAGCTGCTCACTTGGAATGACTCTTTTGTACCAAAACAACTGGGGTTGTTCTGATTGTTCTGTATTTCAGGCGATCTATGATTTGTAGGCTTAACATGCTATTAAACCTTCTGAAAAGAAGTGTAGAAGCTTTAAAATGAGCTGCCTGCATGTGTCCTTATTTCCTCTGTAAGTTGCTCCTGCCACTCCTGTGTTAACTTCTAAGATCTGATGAAATTCAACCACTTGCCTTTATTATGGCAGTAAAATGAGAATGATATCTTTGGGTAGCTTAGCATAGTTCTTGTAGCCTGTCCAAAGAGTATTTAGGTCTGGCAGAGATGAATCTCAGTGAGTTCCCAGCAGGAGATAGAAGCTGATAGGAATACAGCCTCTGACTTTGGGCTGTAGGTCTCTGTGGTTGATCTGCTTGTAGAAATGGTTGATATATAAGTCAGTAATTACAGCTGGCTGATTAAAGCCCGTATCTAAGTGGAAGGAAATCCGTGCTCCGACTCGTACTCAGGTGGATATACAGCGTGCAAATCCATCCCCACCACGGGAAGGCAAACCCTCCAGCCCAACCCGGCGCTTCGGGGGATTTCAGCCTCACTCCCAAAGCCACGGTGGGCGGTGAGGTCCGGGCCGGCCTTCCGCGCATGCGTACTGCGGCCGCCACCGGGGCGTGGCTGGAGGACCCCCGCGCCGTTTGCGCCCCCCTCGGCCGCCGGCGGCGCTACAGCGCCGGCCCAGGAGGGAGGCGGCCGGAGCAAGATGGCGGCGCGAGTGCTGCTGCGGTGGAGCCCGGCGGGAGCGGGCGCCGTGCCGCGTATCCCGCCCGGCGGCGGCCTGGCCCTCAGGTGAGCCCTGAGGGGGAGGAGGCGGGCGGCCGAGGGCGGCTGAGGGAGGCGAGAGAGGGAGCGGCCCCGTACTCGCGGATCCCCCCCCGACACACACAAACATATTGCAGATCCCCTCTCCCGCCTGGAAATGGCGCCCCTCTCGCGCCGCGGCTGAAGGGCCGGAGCCGGGCCCGCCGCCTTTCGCGGGGCGGGGAGCGCGGCCGCTGGGGCGTCCCTCAAGGTCACGGGCACCGAGGCCGGCCCCCGAGTCCGCCCAGGGGTGGGGATCGCGGGCGTCCACCCCATTGCGAGTCGGAATCGCGGTCGGCAGGGCGGCGGTGCGTCCCCGGTCCGACTGCCGTCCCGCAGCGCGGCCGCCCGCGCTCAGCGCTCCCAGCGGCCGGGCTTCATGGCGCCGCCCCGCGGTGCGCGGCGGGCGTCGTCAGTGAGCGCTGCGGGCTGAGGCGGAGCGCGGTGCTGCCTCACGGTTGCACGCGGGATCAGCGCTGCCGGCGGCTTTGTGAAGCAGATGCACGCTTTGGATGTGCACGGGTTGAACTTCTCTCGGCTTTGACGTCTGTATAGAGCGCAAGTTAAAAATTGTCCGTTACAGACGAGTTGTTTTTCTTTCTCTTCCAGGCAGACATTGATTACTACAGAATCTAAATATTTGACCTGATACCTTCTGCTCTACCCAGTTTATACTGTATGCTAACACAGAAGTTAAGGCAGATGGAAATGTCCTCAGCAGCACTGTTAATTTAACACGACCAAGCTACTGGTTCTCCTCTTGTGGTCACAGGCTAATCTTTGTAGCAAGAAATCTGAGCTTTTAGATAACATTTGTAGAATAAGCATTTGCTAGCAGAGTTAAGCAGTGCCTTAAAAGGTTACATGAAAACTCTTTAATGAGCATTATTCCCAGAAAATAAAAAGTTGTGAAGTGTGATGGTAATTCCCTATGGTGCATACATGTTATTTCTGTGCATTTACTTGTAATTTCATTAGTGGTATTCAGGTAATTTGGATCCAATGTTTTACTTCAAACAGATTTTATCATGCTGTGGAGCATGTTATTTAAAAGTGGATCTTTTGGGTGATGGATTAGTTTTGATGCTTATAACAAGTTGTCATTTAGTCCCTGGCTCTTCTCAAGGCAACCATGGGCACAGGTGGCCCAAGCAGGTGAGCTGACAGTCTGCTCAGAGCATCTTGGTTTGTGGGTGTCCAGATGGACACCAGTAGTGTATCTCAGGGGAAATGGTGGTGAAAATTAAGGTTGTAGCATCTCAGATGAGACACACTGAGTGTCTGTTTTAATCAATTTCAGCTGTTACCATTCTTTATTGTAAGTGAAGTGAACATTTAGATGGGTAGTTGTGATTTATTAGTCATTGTTGATAAGGAACTTTACAAGTCCTGAGTAAAAGATTGCATAAACATCTGAAGTACTTATTTCATTCCTCACAGAAGAATGCTCTGAATATTAGTTTGCTAATTGCATTTAGTAACTGGAGGAGAATATGTTAGTACTGCACAGATCTCCCTGTAGATGAAAGAACAAGCACTGCAGGGCTGAAATGGAGTCCTGCCCCCAGGAGCCCAGTTTTGTGTCCAGTGAATAACAGTGCTTACTGTACAGGAGCTCTAAAAGAGCATGCCTTTATTGGGTGGGCTCTCCAGCGTGGCCTCAGGTGGGGCATGGTGCCTTCCTGTGGCACCTGGTGCAGGTATAAAACAGCTGTGCTGTGCCTCTCTCCTCCCTCAGTTGAGATCAGTGAAACCTCTTCTTCTGCACCACCCTCCTCTGGCAGCAGCTATATCATGGAATGCCCTTTTGAATGCTTGTACTCAGGAATGACCGCGCAGGAATGTGCTTGTATGATTTTCTAAGGTCAAATAAAGGACCGTCTTCAATAAATAAAACAAAATACTTACCAATTACTTCTTAGCATTGAAGATTGCCTTGGCTGTGGTTGTTTTGGTACTTACTATTTCTCTGCTATAAAATACTTCTCAGTTCATCCGTTCTGCTTCCACAGGGTATCCCAGTTCATTAGTTTTTGAATGCTGATTGTTGAGGAGTGCTGCTGGTGTGAATTGCTTTTCTGCAATACAAACAATTGTGTTCTCTGAGATTTTTTTTCACCAAAAGAAGTTGATATTTTCTTCTCCTATTTTTTTTTTTCTTTGAGGAATTGTCAGGAAGTTTTGATACTGGAAGAGAGATTTGTACCTGAAGATTGAAACCTGTCATCTGGATCTCATAGTGGTGCAGGGTATAAAGTTGGCTTCTGAGATAGAAAATGTGCTGCCACTTTCTTAGTATTTCAGAGAAATAGTTCAGTATTTCAGCAAAAACTCTGTATCAAAAGGGTAAAGTGAAGGAAGTGCTTCTTTTGAGGAAGAAGAAAGAACGTTCAAGATTGGGGGCATAAAGATTCAGTTAAATACAATAGATGTGTCATTTAACTTTTCCTTTCCAGAGCTGTATTTAAGCAAACATAGGAACATATGGCACTATACTTTCCTATTTACGCTGTACAAATCTTTCCTTATGCCACTTCTTGCTCTTTTTTACTCCTGTATACATCAATACAGACATTGGGTAAATATGCTTCATTAGAAAGAATATAAAAAGACAACAAAAGCAGCCACCTACCCATTTCTTACCCATTTGCTTACAAAGAATGAGAGTAGAGAGTGCATGGTTAAGTGTTCAGCTCTGTATCACATAAAATGGTTTGTGAGGAGGTAATTTTTCCCACTGTGAAAAGAGCTGCCTTCACCTTGCCTGCCAAGTGGCTCAGTGGAAAGACTGAGGAACAGAGGTGGATGTAACTGTTTTAATTTTGTTTGTATTATACTTGATCGTGCCTGTCTTCCCTGCATTATGGGCATTTTCAAGACGTGCTCAGTGACAGTGTAATGTACTTGTTGATATGTAGGGGGATGGTATCTTCAGCTAGCAGACCTCGTGAAGACAGTTGGTTAAAATCGCTATTTGTTCGCAAAGTCGATCCAAGGAAAGATGCTCACTCCAACCTTCTAGCCAAAAGAGAGACCAGCAGTCTGTATAAACTACAGAGTGAGTGTTATTCTTATGTTTAACGTTACCGTTTCTCTGTTCCATTCCTGCATTTCTCATCTACTGTTGTTGTTTCAGTTCACAATGTAAAACCAGAATGCCTAGAGGCCTACAACAAGCTTTGGTAAGTGTGTATGTTATGTTTTCACATCTCAGACATGTTGATTTGACCATAAGCATTCTAAAAATTGGCAAATGCAATGAATATTTGTGGGGAGGTGGACGAATTCAGCTTTTGCTTTCAGGGTATGATGGTAAATAGATGTTGTTATTCTTGGAGAAAGATGGCAAAAGGTACTTGACTCAGATCACCCCTTACTTTCCTTTTTGGAAGTGTCATTTCTTAATCTGCAGTTCAGGGTGATGCCTTTTGTGCAAACACAGGTGAAGTTTGTTGGAATAGCTTCCTTCCCACCCTTAGCTTTACAATAGCAATTAGATCCTTACATGCTAGTATTCCCCCCCAGCTCCTGCCACGTAGGAGCTTGCTGGCAGGTATTATTGTCTTCATATAGGAAGGAAAGGGAGAGATCACTGGTAAGTAAAGCTGCATGCCAGTGTTAAAGTATGGTTTGGAGGAGATTTTGAAAATGCACGATTTGATTCTTCCTCAGTTCATCTCTGTCTTCTTTCTACAAAGTTACATTACTGAGAGATCTACTTTAAAGAGCTAAGCAGGCTTTGGATAGGATCTGTGTGTTGGGATGATAACCTCCAGAGAGAGCAGTGCTCTCATTAGTTATCCAAAAAGTCACAGCTTTCTAAAATGCATGAAGAGTAATGTTTAAAATGTACTGATTCAAGAACCAAATTAGAGAAGTATTAGCCCTGTCCTGCATACACAATGCCAATACTGAATGTATAAATTGGAAATATAGTAGAGCTCCCAAGTTTGGAAACAGCAGGGTTTCCCACTGTCCTTGATCACGTTGTCAGTGCAACAAAGCATTCTCAGTACAGTGGTACCAGGTTTTAGCAGTGGTGGATTGACTGGGACATGAGTTGGGCTGGAGAGTAAGGAAGTTCACACCTCCTCATTTATGTCCTCAACTCTGTTAGGAGTTCTTTGTCCAACATTGTCTAACTTAGCCATATTAAGCTTTGAAATGGGTCTAGATAACCCAAACCTGTTTTCCTTATTGTACAGTTACTTTATGACAGAAGGTATTTTTACCTTTAACCTAAAACTTTAACCTAAAAAATACATATACACAGAGGCATGAGTAGCATTCAGCCCTCTGTCTGTTTAAAAGCTTAATATAAACACATCCAATTATATGAGGCAGAGAGCCACTTCTCTGTGTATCTCGTGAGCTACCTAGATGTAGCATGAAAGCAGAGGCTTTTATTCTCAAGGAAAGAAATGATAACAAAGAAGGAAACTGCTGATAGCAACCAGATGAAGTATGTGGGGTTAAATGTGTTCTTTCCAAACTAAGGATAGTTGAAGTATTGAAGGGAAGGAGGAAACTTGAGAAGGCAGAAATTAAGAAATGAAGGCGCTTCTGAACTTCCCTTCTTCCTCCCCCTAAATTAAGCATGAACAAGCAAATTCCTTATAAAGATTAGTCAGCATGTGTTCATAAAGGAAGAACATAACGAAGGCAATTAGGAGAACACTTCATGAATCACTGTGGGTAAGGATCCCCTTCTGAAGAAGTTGTAAGTTATTTTTAAAAGGAAAAAGATGGTTTTCAAGTCTGTGAATGACATCATGCCGTGTCTTTTTTTAATATATTTTGGAAAAATACCTTTAATGATTACTGTAGTAATAATTTAACGTTCCTGCTTAAAGCTGCCTCTCTAGGATCTTGTTATGCTTTGCAAAACCAAACTGATAGTGACTGCAAACATCACTGGAAAGTTTTCTGTTGTATAATTTCCACTGTAATGAGAAATATTGAAATATAAATTGGTGATGAAGTTTGTTGTGGGTCATCAAGAAAGTCAGTGGTAGAACCAAGAGGAAGACTTGCATATTCTGACTGTGTGTCAGGACAAGACCAGCCTACTTGCTATTATTTGATACCTTGCAGAAGTACTGCCTGTTGGCTGCAGGGTAAGAGTAGTAATTATTCAGGGGAAAATATTAAAAGGCAAAGTTCAACCAGCCCAATAGACATTCATCAGTGTTCATGCAGTGAAAGCTGACTTAACCAAGTTAGCTGTCAGGAAAACTTAATTTCCCAGTGTTAATGTAAGTCACCTTTTAAAGTTTGAAGAAGCACTGCCTTTACTGGAAATAGTCAAACAGAAATTTGGTGTTAGTCGTGTTTTCATGGCAGTTTCATCACGTGCTTCACTGATAAGTTGCCTCAAACTAGATCTGCTTTCTGAAGCCTTGGAGAAAGCAGTAAGGCAGCATAGTATTGAGCACAGCCTTCATTTGGTCAATCAAAACACTTGTTTTTATTAATTAATTTAATTAATTAATTTTTATTAATAACATTGTTGCTGGTAAAGAAGAAAGCCTGTCCTTTTCTACTATTGTGTATTGTGTTGATGAAGAAAACGTTTTCCTAAAGCAAATCACCCGTGTAGCTAGGCTGTGCTTCCTGTGAGACATCCTGATGTTTGTTTCCCTAATGTGTTGGATAACCCGGGTGTTATCACGTAATTCATTGCATCCAGAGTGTTCTACCATGGTGTGCATTTGTCATACAGTAAGAAATAGTAGCACTCACCTTATTTTTATGTAGAGCTGTAGCTATCTTTCCCCTCGCAAAGCAGATTCTTGTATTTCAGCTTTCTCTTCTGAAACGTAGAGCTTGTGAATTTTCGTACCATAATGATAAACGTGTGGTGATTTGTTATACATATCAACTGTAGCCTCCCTGAAGGAAATGCAACATAGTGTCTGTATTCCTTGTTTTCAAGTCAAGAGGTGCTGCCAAAGATTCATGAAGAAAAACACTACCCATGTGCACTGGTGGGGACTTGGAACACGTGGTACGGAGAGCAAGATCAGGCTGGTAGGAGATAGAAGTACAACAGAATGTAAAACCATACAAGTGAAACGTGTGCTTGGCAGGTTTCTTCTCTTTAAATCATCTCTGTTGATAGTAAACCTTTAGCAACGTATACAGTGAGGATGTGTGTGCATTGGTTATCAGTAGTCGTATTAACATTTGCAGTGCTTGCTATTTGTCTTGTTGAGTTTGACAGTGAAGCTTTTAATTCCTAAAGCTTGTCCTCTCGTTAATACTTTCCTGTTTTCCAGGTGGTAGATTTAACAATTGGAGAAACCCTGGTCAAATTTGCTCCTGTAATATTTTGCAGGCACGGATTGTGTTCCTGAATAATTAAGCCAAAGGCTTTCAGAGACAGAGTTGCAATGGCTTATAAGCCAAAAAAGTAAAAAGCTTTACTCAGACTTTCATACTGCAACTGCTATATGATAATGAAATGTAAATCATAATGCCATCTGAAAAAAGGAGTGCATTGTAAACTCACAATAATCTAAATCTTTACTGGGGGTTTTCTGTTCATGTTCTTATAAGGATACCACCTAACAATGCAGATTGAAAATACATTGAACTAGAAAGCACTGAAGAGCTGCTACAGAGGTAACTGCAAAGAGACTTGTGCAGAAAGAAAACCTGAACAATTTCCTGGGCTCTGGGGAAAGGAAAGAGTGGGAAACCAAAACAGAGTGATGTGCCAATGCTTGTTTTGTGGTAGAAGCTCTGTGCTTAGAGCTGTGCTAGGGTCAGTGTCACTGCTTTGTTATCCAAGAAGCCCTGTGCACAGCAGGGTGGTTGGAGCTAGATGATCTTCCAACCCAAGCTGTTCTGTGTTAGTGTTTCAGTACACCCAGTAATTTTTCCTGCATTCACGGCACATTGGAATATTGACACTGCACAAATGTGAGGAAATGACTGTAGATAAACCAAGCAATATCTGCTAAAGAATTCTTAAAAGTTGAAGGGAAAGTGGGCAATAATTGAAATGAGAATGCTTAGCCAAATCTCATTCATTGTTTTTGTAATGTATTAACACAGACTATATCTATAATTGCATCCATAGCTTGGCTTGAAAGTGTTATTGCAACAGTTCTGGCAGTATAATAAAGCAGATTATGGGCTTTTTTTCTTGTTCAGTACTTGTACTGGGGCTGTGTTAATACTGTCTGGATATATCAAATTTGCCCTGGGGAGTAGGCAATAGAAGCAGGCATACTGGATGAATCTGCTGTCATAGTGAAGTGCTTTATACATTAGTCTCGAGTTCACTCTGCTGGAAAAGGCTCAGGACTTCTGGATAGGAGAGCAAATTGCTTTTCTGACTCTGAGTTGAATTATTGTTGCCTTGCTTTATTAAGTGCTTATAAATAGATCTAGTTAGGATTTATTAGAGCCTCATTAAGGAGAGAATACTTTGAAAAGACTGTCAAATGCAAAGACCTATTCTGAAATTTTGATGTTTTAATGGGGAAAATCCTAACAAAAATGTAACAATTGTGGCACATTTAGATAAATTCTGGTATGCTTTTTTAATTTAACGTTTACCACAAAAATAACACTTGCATCATTTTTTGGCATCCTGCTGAAAGTTTCTTATGCTCTTTTGCTTCAGTAACTTGCTGAACTAAAAAGTCTACTACTCCCTTGCTCTTAGATGAAATAGTTGTAAAAGATCTTTATGAATAAAGTCAACCCCTTCAATTGAATCTCATTTTAAATTACAGACATGTAAAGTCATCACACTTTACTAGCATGGCAACAAAACCTCCTCTTAGAAATCTTCCTCTTCAGATTAAACTGTGCAGTTTTTGAAGGAACACTTTGCAAAAAGCAGATGATTCTGTTAAAGTGTTCAAATGTGCAGTACTTTAATGAAAATCTTGTTTAAACCTGTTACATGACTTGTGTTATTGTATAATTCTGCTCTATGAAAAGCATTTTGTACTGTGATATTCCATGAGTTTTGCTGTTTGCTCACAACGTCCATGAAAATACTTCCTCCTTCTGTTTCAGTTCACCTATGGAGGTATGAGGGAGGCTATCCAGCTCTCAATGAGGTCATGAGCAAACTCCGTCAAAATAAGGTAAAACTTGGATTTTGCTACAGGTGGTTAAAGAAAAGAACGTAGAATAGAGCAGAACAGTTGGACACTTGCTTTTACTGATCACCTTCTGTGCAAGCTTATTGCAAGCAGATTGGAAGAGATCCAGATTCAGAAATACTGAGTCTTAATGTTATTGATTCTCAGATCTCTATTAAGATGCAAGCTGAAGTTTTCAAAGATGCCAGGGGAATTTGGATGCCTTTGCAGTTTAAAGGATTTCAGTGTCCAAAACCTCAGTATAGTACTGAAAAATCTAAACCACTCTAGGGGCACACTGTAGGGTTTTTTTGTTATTGAAACATAACACACAGTTTGATAATGACCACATTGTTTTGAAGGAGTTCACAGAGTTTCGCAAAGAAAGAGGCAACATGCTTCTTTCTCGCAAGAACCAATTACTGTTGGAATTCAGCTTCTGGAATGAACCTGTTCCCAGAGAGGGGCCGAATATTTATGAACTGAGATCCTATCAACTTAGGGTAAGTTTCAGGGTTTTTTATTTTTTAAGCTATATGATGTCATAAAATGTTCAAAGAGTGTTTATACGATGCGGATGGAAAACAGGCCTTGTCTTAAAAACCTGGTTCTTATCAAAGCTGATGGCTGAGTCACTGCTGCTCTCAAAGTGTGGGGTCCAAAATGAAGGCAGGCTCCAACGAGATGCTAATGTCTCCTGTGAAGGGCTGGAAACCTTGTGTTTTAATTTGAGGGAAACTTCTGGAAAATGACTAAGAACTAATATAGTAAGTAAATGGAGTAATTATAGATGATTATAATATGCTTATCACTTAAAGGAAATGGTTTCATTATTAGTGTTTCCCATATGTAAATGTGAGTACTGTCAAAATACTGCAGGGTTTTTTTTGTGAGTGCCATCAAAATACTGCAGTTTTCTTTAAGCTACAATCTTAACAGTCTGTTTTATTCTTGTAGCCTGGAACTATGATTGAGTGGGGAAATTACTGGTAAGTACTGCCTTAGCACTTTTGTTTTTGTCTTTGAGAGATGTGTGTTTAAAAGTTATGAAGTGGAAGTGACAGAATGGTACTGAAGCATTTCAGGCACCCAGTTAATGGTCTGCTTCTGTTCTCAGGCAACTTGTAAAATAGTTCTTTGACCCTCAGTTTATCCTTTGAGGAAAGGAAAAGGAATTCTTTATGCAAACAGTGCTGTGGGCTGAGTGGTTTGGTTTTCTTTCACGTAAGCCTTTTAGTTAGATATCATATAGTAGAAATAAGAAATAATTTATTTTGAGTAGAAAGCACTGCTCGTTGAAGGATGCTTTTAACTTCTTAAGAGCGCATTCTTCTTCCACGACTTCAGCACCAGTAAAAGTTGACTTATTTTTCTTTCAGGTATTCTAAGTCTTGACTCTTTCAATCTTTGAAAGCTAAGTTGCTTCTTGAAAACCTATTGAGCAGCACATTTGTATTGTAGCGTGTAGGTTAAAAACATTTGAGACAGTGTCCTCTTGAGTGTATGCTTCTAATTCTGACTTATTCGACAGTAAGTTTGTGCAGTTTGTGATTGGTAGTTAACTAACTTGGAATATTTTCAATTATTTTGACAGAGGTGAGGACTTGGATTTTTAGTTTAGCCATAGTCATTGGTATAATTCATTTGATTACAGTAATTTACCATTAAATTGAATTTCAAATTTTTACATAATAGGCATGTCTACAATAGTACCAGTCTGTTTTAGAAGGTGAAACAGATTTATAATTTGAAAAGATACTGATCTTGTTCACACAACAGATCACGGACTGTCACAAAACAGAGATCCACGTGAGAAATAAAACTGTATTCTGTGACCAGAAAATCCGTGGTGAATGGGTGCGACAAAGGCAAGGGGACAGAAGCCCAAGGTTTTAGTTTGAGAGCTGAATACTGGACAAGCAGTTATCAGTTTAATGGATCTAATCTTGAAAATGGTGATTAATGCACAGTCTGATGAAACCACAGGCCTCAAATTTTAGGATGTTCTGACAAGATGTAGGCATCTTTTAACTACTTAGTGCTAGAAATCAACGGGCTTAGGTTTTTTTCCTCATTTTGAATTGAGAAAGTGTGCAGTAAATGCTGTTTAACTTTTGGGACTCTGTTCACATCTGCTTTCTCTTCAGTTATCATTCATTTGCTACCAGGTCTGTTGTTCTTAAAGACTCCTCCTCTCTTCTGTAGGGCCCGTGCAATTCGTTTCCGACAAGATAAAAACGAAGCAGTTGGAGGATTTTTCTCACAGATTGGACAGCTGTATATGGTTCATCACCTTTGGGGTAAATGTGTTTATTTTATCTGGCTTTTTTCTCAGTCAGCCTCTAACAGACTGTTGACTTTGCCCAGAGGACAAGGTTGTTATAAAAGTTGGAGGAATGCCTTAACGAGTTTTTTCTTTTACATCAGCTATGTTGATTTTCTGTATTTTTGCGTAGACAACTTTATTTTTGAAAGAAACAAGCAGAACTGAACATATGATGTTTTGTCTTGTTTCTGTCAAGTTTCTTAAGGGCTTTTCTTATCTACTTGATTGGTTTCAATAATATAAGCATGACAACTCAGATCCTGCCCTCTCTTTTTTCCATCCCCGTTTATGCTGAAGTGAGATTTTTACAGCTTAGTTTGAAGCATCACACATAACACATAAAAGAAGGGAAGTCAAGCAGAGATTTACATTATAGCAGTACAACATTGTGGCTTACTCCACTTGTGAATTTCTACTGATGCTTAGGTTCCTTCTACTCTAGGATTATTTTGCCTTGAAGAAACTGATTGTCTAATGTTTATTTTAGAAAACATGCAGTATTAACTTCAGATCTTGACAATTCAGAACATTGTATTCCAGCTTTAGAAATGTGATCCCCACCACCCACGTAGAACTCTGTTGCCTTATCTCCCTTATCTATTTTAAGACATTTCTCTCTGCCACATTTAGGCTTCCTCATGCTGCCCCTGATAGCCTTTATTGCATTTAAAAACTACCATCAGTACACAGGTTGGTTTGTTGGCCATTTTTTACAGAAATGCTCACGATCAGGGGTGAATGCTTTACAGAACACTGATGACTGTTTACCCACCACCACCCAAAACACTCCAACCATGCAGTATTTACATGGTGTAGCATTTGCAAAGTACATTTTGCTCTCTTCCCCAGTTCCTTCTATTTGCACTGGTTTGAGTGTTCCTTTTTGTGGAGAACATCTCAATTTGTAGTCTTGTAATAACACATGAGAATACTTTTAAGGTAGCTGTACATATGTAGAAGGAAAAGGAGTTACTTACAAGCTTTGTGCTCGCTGTTGTCTCTTGCCAGCTTACAAAGATCTCCAGACCAGAGAAGATATAAGGAATGCTGCGTGGCACAAACCTGGCTGGGATGAGCTAGTCTATTACACAGGTAACATATTAACTCCTTTGGAATGCTGGAGGCAGACCTTTCTGCAGGCCATCATTCTTATTCTTCATTACGTTGTTCAATGATAAGAAGTTTTGCATCTCTGTATTATGTGTGTGTGTTCAGTTTTGCTGCTCTAAGGAGGCACATTTCACTAAGCTGTAAAGGGAGTTTTGCAATTGATTGTCCAAACTTTGGAGGCCTTGCATAATTGCTAAAAAAAAATCTATTGTTTACAGTAAATTTTCATTTCAAATGCCTCTACAGGAAAGGAGCAGGTTTATGTAAATGCTTAAGTTGTGTCCAGCAATCTAGGAAGCTAACAGTAAAATGTATCTGTATGTTAAATTGTTACCTCTAATATTTCGCTGAAGTAATGGAGCCTTAGTAAATGCATTCCTTTGAGATGGGAAATTAGACTTTGGAACCTGGAGGTCGCTCAGATCAAAGATAGCTTTCATTACAGAACTCAGAGAAGTATGCTAAAAATGTCAGATTTTAGTCCTGTGAGTTTTATTTCACAGAAAGCATACCAGAAAAAATGTAAGATATCTTTTGGCTTCAAAGGAGCAGACAAATTACATGAAAAAAATCACAGGTTTCTCAAAATGGCTGTGCTTCAGTTACGGAACTATTGGTGGTTAGTGGTGATTTGGCATGCACAGTCTGGGGGGTAATTTGAAGACAATACTATCTGTTGGAAGTGGGCATGCAGAATTGTTGATGGTCTCTGGTAGTGAAATTAAACCCTCTCTCTTTTCTTTTTTTTTTTTCAGTGCCCCTTATTCAGGAAATGGAATCCAGAATCATGATACCATTGAAGATTTCTCCACTTCAGTAAAGTCATTGATTTATTTGTGCCTACATAGATAAAGTGACAAGTATTTGTCTTAATTAATTTATGGTATACATTGTATATCATAGTCAAAAATATAAAAGTACTGTATTGAGCTTATAAAGGAGACCTCTTTTCTTCAGAACCTAATGACCTTTAGCTCTTGGGATTGTACCAGGAAAAAAAGAAATACAGGACCGTAGCTAAAAGGTTGGTTAACGTAAAGAAACTCCTCAGGTTAAATATGGTGTATGGTATTTAATATCTCCTCCTGGATAGAAAATGCCCAGTGTTCACAACAGCAATAGAATGGAGTGTTATAGTTGCTGTGGCCTTTGTGTAGCGTTTATAACGACTGCAGATTGCAAAAACAAATGGGGAAGTTCTGAAATCAGGAGCTTTGAAACCCTCAGGCAGTTCACCTAACTTTCCAGCAGAGCTAAAATCAGTAAAGTAGCTCCAAATTTATGAATAGATGGTTACTAATTGAGAGTAATATTATCTCTCACATGATAGCTTACAGAGAATAGGGCATTCTGTTTCGCAAGGACGTTGAAGCTTGTTGAAACCTAACTACATGTTTTTCTAGATATCAACACCTGGAATTAATTTTGTGAAATTATTTAGAGCCTTTTTAAAAAAGTCTGACCCACTGCTTTCAAAGAGATACTGACATGACATGATTGTCTGAACATCCTGCAGAGAATCAACTTCAGTGGAATACATTTATCTCTAGGTATAACTCAAAAATCTAGGAAAAGGGGTTTTATTTAATAAGCAGTCATGACTTCAGACATATGCTTGATCAGGTGTTTCACTAACTGTACAATGGGTACTCAAGAATTAATGTGTGAAACTGACGCATGTTGAGTCAATAGGATTGGCATAGAGCAGTGTACCATTATGTCCAGTTCTATTTTGATTTCACTTTTAGACTAGAAAATGTCAACACTTTTAGTGTCTGCGATGATGTGAACATCCTGTAAGTGAAAATAATGTTCTCTCTTCAAAGTGGCTGCAAGAATCAGTGTAACACAGAGAATGTTCAAATCAGTTACTGAATGTCAATTTGTACATTTCAGTGAGTATCAGGAAAAACATCAGTCAATAAAATCCTTTTAATTTTCACATGTTACTGGCACCATATACATATTGCACCATCTGTCTTTTCTCTCATCTTGCTGTGTTTCTGATGAACAGTTTCAATAATTGCATAGAACACATTTCAGCTTAGTGAGTCGGTGTCACTTCCAGTAACAGCATTTCTCAGTATTGGGCTCTCTTTCTCCAAAATTAATTTACAATATTGCCATTATACACCCTTTTCTTAAATGTTTTAAGTGCTATGGTGATAAATACAAAATACTTCTCCATTTTCTCCGTAAGTTATGCTTTTTCAGTTCTAATTTCTTCCTTGTTCTCACGTAAAACACACCACACTCTTACCTTCTTCTTGGACAGAATCAATTTGATCTGATTGTGTTGGTTTTGTATTTGCTTTCTGTATATGTTGTCAGCTGATTATGGGATTTTACTGAGTAAACTTCTCTACTGTATTAGCTTAAAGTTCTCAGCTTGGTGTGGTTAATGTGCCACCACTTCAGCTGAGTTATGTGATCAGTGCTGTCATTAGGGTCATTTGGGACTTTTCCAGACTTCTGGAGCTACTTTTAGCTACAAGAAACAAAACAAAAACAAACAAACAAAAAAAACCCATCAGTTTGCAGTCCTTGTTATTTCTGCCAGTATGCTCTCTTTTCTTCTTGTTCCTAGAGGGCTCACCAGGTAATCTAACCCTCATAACCAACCATCTTGGTGACAGAAAAAGGATTTATTTTTTACATTTATACATTTTTGGAGTTAAAGGATTTTGTGGATTTTGTTGCAATCCACATTTCTCACCTTCAGCCAGGAACAGTAGGAATTAAATATAGTTGGGCATAACTCTTGTTATTTTAAGGCCCATTAAGTTTTGCATGAGTCAGATCTGTAAGGAATAACGGGATGTTCTGCACGTGGCACAAGCCTCCTGCCTCTTTGTGTTACCTAAGATCAGAATTCTTGGTAGTGTTGCCACACGTTATAAATGAGCATGTTGTCATCCTGTGCTGCAAACTCCTGCTGTGTCCCTCACTGGAGAGGCACGGCTTCCTGCTACTTTAGTTAAGGATAAGTATGTGAGGTAAACTCATAAACCTTAGCATGCTAAGTGATGATGACAGTCTTTCCTTACTTACCGTTGCCTGAGCCTTTTTTGAGGTTGGCTTTCTCCTGTTGTGAACATTATTGTGATTTTTTCCCTCTCAGTGTCATGGCCCACTTTGCTTTCTTCTTTTGGCTCACAGAATATCAGCGTTTCTTAGTAGAATGCATAACTGAAGTCACTTTCCAGTGATTGGAAAGCAGGGAATAATGCCTGTGACAGTTTCTGGTAATTGCTAATTTCTGATCCAGTCATAGCACTGTGATGAAGACACAAACTGAAGTTTTAGTGGTCCTGTAGTCTTCCTAGAAAGATGACAAATTGTTCTTCTTCAAAAGTTCCCTCGTGGAAATTGCAGGTAGAACTAAAAGCAACTCTGTCTCATGAATAATCACATAGAAATAAAACATTTTATATGAAGCAGCATACTTCCCATTAGCTCTTAGTCAGGAGACCTACTTGAAGACAAAATGGTTATCTGCCTCATAACCTATGCTACTCTCCAGCTCTACTGTGATGGGTTATGTTCAAGTAAACCAGTAGCTTGGTTGTAATATTGAAAGTAGCCTCATGCTGCTTTATTCTCTCTTAGTTTTTAGTTTTCCAGTATTTTACAAACAAAAGCTGCTCACTGAACTAACCGATCCTTCCGGTGCCTCCTGCTCTAGGAGGTAGGGCCTGCTGCTGGCCCACTGCAGGGGGTGTTACTTTTTTCTAAACAGTCAGACCTAAAGAGCTCTTGTGAAATCATTGGCATAATGCTGTGTTTCCATAGCAGTCACTGGCAGGAGGTACTGTTGTGAATGTTAACATCTCTGTGGCACAAAGCCCCGCGTTAGTGGAATTACATACACTCGAAGCATGTCACAATGTTTGTAGGATCTCTAACTGTAGCCATGTAGCAAGGTGTTTGTAATTCAATAGAAAACTGCAACAAATAGAAGCACTTCTTTGCTTCATAGCTGTACAGTTGTACAGAAATGAGCTGAATAAGAGCAGACGGGGTTTATGCTTGTTCTGCCCGTGCACTCTTGCCTAAACAAAGGCAGGATTGTACATGGGCTGCCCTTGGAGCTGGCTGAGATTCTTCCCAGGGAGAATTTAAAAGAGATTATGTTTAATACTCCTAGAAGAGCTCGTGAGCAGCCTGCCACTTATGGGCTGTCTTGTCTTTTGTGGAGATATATTAAACTATATAGAAATATGCAGTATAACTGTATCTATTTGTTTCTGTTTGATTTTTTTTTTTTTTTAATCATTCTGCTTTCCTAGTGTTGAAATACTGTTTGTAACTTACTGCCTCTGCTTTTTGCCCAAAGCTTGAGATGGCATTGCTGAGAGCTGTCACTCATCACTATCCATGGCTCTGTTTCTCCCCTTTCCCCATCTATCTTTTCTGATGATACAGCAAAATGGGCAAAACATTTAATTGCTTTTAATTGCTGATGGTGCTTAAATATGGACAGGATCACTTCACCTTGATTTAATCATATTAAATTAAGAAAATTTTGTGCAAGTTGTGCAAGCCAGTAGTGGTTATCTTGTGGAGACAGTGTGAGGCTCTGGAAGGTAAGCATGTCACTTTTTAATCTTCCAATCTATGCAGTGTTTGGTGGGTTGGAAGAGGTGAACCTAAGAGTTACAGCATTCAGACTGATGTTCAGTTTCAGGTTTATTTGTAAGTACACAGAACATATGAGCCTGAGAGTTTTGTTCCCAGGACAAGTTATGTCATATCAGCCCATCTTTCTCCTGCGACGTTATTGTGTGGATGGAAGTGGAAGACATATCTTTCATTTTGTCATTAGTCAAGCTTTTTACATTATCTCAGATGAGATCCTTATAAGTCAGGGAAATAAAAGTACTATCGTGTGTCAGCAGTGCTGGTTAAAAGGACACACAAGAGATATCAGGGATTTGCTGACAAAAAAAGCACAATTTATCAA